GGCAAATTGCATCCATTCCGCTTGCAGGAACTCAATTAAGTCTGAACTAGATGCTTCCATCGTTTGGCTCCAAATTAATTGGTTGAAATTATTCATCTTTATTATGACATGAGGGATTGGGTGACTCTATGGATCAGGGCTAGGTATTTCCCTTTCAATGTAATTTGCAGTTTGTGCAGCTTTCAAAATATTTTGGGGAATAAAAGTTTATTGCTACTTTCACAATGAATATTTACATGAGAAAAACATAAATTTGAAAATAAAATGGCCAGTTTTCTCACCGCAAGTAAGGTAATAAAGCCTTTAAGATACAAGAGGTTTGTGGGTGTAAGTGAATATGCAGAAAACATTAATATATATATATATATATATATATATATATATTAAATCATTTTAAACGTTATATATATACATACATATACCATCATATATCTATTATGAAATCGATTAAGTCCGACGACTATTTAATGTATTTTCTGTTTATAAGTTATTTTAATAGATACAATTTATTTAACCAGGGGTGATATCACGGTTTCGGTGGCTATGGCGGGACCGCCACCCCTGGCGCCACCAGCAACGTTTGCCACCAGGCAGGGTATGAAGATAAGCTAACTAATTGTTCCTTTAAGCAAAATCTATCTGCAATGAAAGTTTCTTGAACGCGTTTGCTGTTATTGACGCGCTCGTAAAAGTCGTTATAGACGACCACGCAAATATCTCACTTGCGCATGTTAGGTTGTGATGTTGCGCGCATTTTATTTGCTTGATTTTATCTCAACCAAATCCAATTTGACGCATGTTGAACAGTTTTTGGAAGGCGATGCGAAACGCTTTTCAACCAACGGCCAGTGATGCCTATTTTTGAAAGGAAAGAAATGACCGAATGGCCCAGAAACCTACGACACCCAATCTCAATAGGCATCACGTGGCACGTCCAACCATTTCCCATACACTCGGCATGCAGTGACTCGTACCGGTTTTACTTTAGTTCGTGCGCCTCCACCCTGTTCTCTTCCCAAGGGACTGTTAGTTCTATTAGGAAGACAGTCTTTTTAGAGTCGGGCCACAACACAATGTCGGGACGCTTGTCTGTCTGTGCGATGTATATTGGAGATTTTAAGGATCTCATTAGATCCACTGAAACCTTCCAATCATATATATATATATATATATATATATATATATATATATGATGAGTTATCATTATTTACATCCTGTCTATTGTCCTCATCTTTTTTGCTGTTATCACAACATCCCAGCCGTTGTGCCCTACTGCCTTCATTAGGTGTAACCTACAGGGAAATCCGAGCTGAACCCTTTATTTAATCTACGGAGGCCGAGTGTTCTCGTTCCGCTGCCCATGTCTAGTGATATCTCGTCTAGATCTTATTTGTTTTTAAGTATACACCTGATGAAGCTCGGAAAGCACAAAGGTCGAAACGTTGTAATAACAAAGATGGGGACAATAGTCCGTATGTAAATAGTGTAAATAATTCACTGCGTAGTTCAACACGCTTAATACATTGCTTCTCAAGTTTCTTTTTTAAAACATGTTTAGTCATTGAATTACTACTTTGTTGTTGCTATCATCTCCAAACCACTGGTGAAAATCGCCTCCCTTTCAAACTTTGTTTAAATTTTGGAAACAGGAAGTATCAAATGAAGCAGGATTTGATTGAGTAGGGAGTATGTCCTCCGTAATTGTATTTATATGGTATTTAGATAAAAACATCAACGGGCAGCCAGGATTGGAAGAGATAAGGGGGGAATGAGAAGATACAGTCAGATTGCGGTAGAAGGATAAAGGCATTGAGATAATGGATAATCTTAGTTTTCAACACCCGTGCAATTTCCAAGAGACCAGCTTGTTTAAATTATTAGCAATTCTCTATTTTAAAACTGTATTCACAAAATAAATAAATAAATAAATGAAAGTGAGTAATTTGTAAAACGTCTTAGAAAATGTCTTCTCCCATTACTAACTTAAAGCAAAATAAACAACTCTTTACTGATAAATATAGACGAATCAATGCTTTCATATGTTTTGCTCAGTTCTTGCCAAAGATCCTTCGCCAAAATTTCCAGACATGATTAACAGTCTGAAATTTATTAAGCAAACGGTGTCAAGTTCTGATTGGCTGGAAGTTTCCTACTTTATTTCTTTTCATTTTTCTTCTATTCCACAGATTCTTAAAATGTCGACCCAAATTTTCTTTTGCTACATCAGATTTTTGGTATGGATAAGTAATTTTCTATAGTTGTTTTCAGTTAAACCTTATCACTTTTTAAAACAGCGTCCAAGTTCTTATCGACATTAATTGCTTGCCGTGGCGTTTTTCTCATGTTCGCCCGCGCTCTGAAATATATTCTCTTTCAATTGGTAGTCTTTGGGTATGTCCATAAACTACATCCGGCAGCAAGGCCTCTGATCGAGAGATTGGAGGTTTTGAGGAACGTGAGCCATCTCTTAATTCCTGCCGTTAGGGTTCCAGCTTTGGGCAAACAGTGAAACCCCAAAGAAGAAATAAAAACACTATGAAAGTAGAAAAATACATTTCTATATAAAAATACCAACAATACATATTTATATAAAAAATTATCTATATGCAACTCACAAGGCCAAACGCTTTAAAATGTTGAAATTTAGCTACAGAAAGAAATATTAACGTATGGTCGGTTGTATGTTGCATTCTCAAGAATAAGAAATCCTAAGAATTTATTCTTCGCTTTTAAAAGGGATAAAAATAAATTATCTTTAAAAAATATTGAGAAAGTCCTATAAAATTAAATTAAATAAATTATTAAACCACAAAGTAGGGTCGTTGTCAAAATATTTTTCCTAACACATCATCTTATTCAAATTTCATTGATTGGTTTGCGATATTGAATGAAACGTAGAGTTTGTAAATCTCGACTAAAAATGTTACCGATAACTTCAACGATATTGTGAGGATTTTAACAGACATCAGCGTATTGAAAAAAAAAAAAAAATAACTTGTATTGTTATAATTGTTCCATTTGCTTTATTAGTTATTGTTATATCTTTTGTGTCTTGGGCAGTTCGACGTAGTGTAATGGTTGGCAAATATGGCTCAGCTAAATCAGTCACAACAGTGTAGTGTGTTCGATCCTCATTGGTTGCTCCGTACTTAAGGCCTTGTGCCGCATCTAAGTCACGCTTAGTAAATAATGTGGGGGTATTTCAATGTGGTGTAATGGCTAGGAATCTTGTCTCTATAGATCAATTACGATTAAATAGCGAGTTCGATTCTGACTGGGTGGCCATACTTTCGACCTTGTGCCGAATCTAAGGTACTCCTTGTAAATCATTATATCTTTTGTGCCTAATTTAGAAATTAATATAATAAGTATGCATAATAATAATAATAATAATAATAATAATGATAACAATAATGATGATGATGCTTATTGACATAGTAGTACCATGTGATAGAAACATCTCCATAAAAATTATCGAGAAATTGTCCAAATGCAAGATTAACAGGATGTAGGGAATGAAGACTGAGACTGTACCAATAATGGAGCTTTGGGTCTCGTGAGAAAAGGAATGAAAAATTTTACTAACAACGTCCCAGGTAGCATCAACAGACAAGTTGCCCAGAAGTTCTCCCTACTAAGAACATTTTTTTTAAGCATTTCACCCCAAGCAAGGCGGGAAGCCACTAGAACGCAAGGGGTTACAGAAAATTTAGAGCAAGATCAGATAGGAGTGATAGAAGAAAGGATGAGGGTAGTGGATAGATCAAAGCAACTGGAGATGTCGATTGACATTACATTTGAATAGCTGGAGATTATAGCTCACAGGGAAACAGGAATAGGAAGGGAGTTCCACAGGCGACAGGTGCGAGACATGAAGCTATTGGAGTAGAAGAGACGGCTACATTTAGGAGTTTCGACAGTGAAGGGGTGAGAGCGGGATGCCAGCCTCGTATGGCGCTGGAACGCATGACGTCTGGGAACCAGCGAATGCAGCTCCTCGGAGCAATTTCCATGAAAGTATTTGTAGTACAGACAGAGGGAGGCGACGGCGCGTCTGTGAGAAAGTGACTGTAGACGAGACGCCAGAGCAGGGCCAACTACATTGCATAACCGCCTCTGGAGCCTATCAAGAACTCCGAGGCAAACAGAAGGGGCACCAGACATATATGGCAGCAATACTCCACGCAAGGGCGAAATGTTGATTTGTAGATCTGGAGGATCGACTCCGGGGAGAAAAACTTCCTATACTAAGAAAAGTTTTATCAGTTAAATGACAAATCTCTTATAGGGCCTAAGGACGATATTTTGAATCCGGCCCTACAGGATATAAAGCAGGAAACATAACATTCACAAATAATAATAATAATAATAATAATAATAATAATAATGATAATAATGATGATGGTGATGTTGATGACCGACTACTCGTTTCCAAGACCACCCATCTGTTGTTGGCATTTACTCAGGCACATTTGTATTTGTTCAACACCCCGACCACTGTGGTTTATGTTGAATCTAAACTAAGCAAATAATTTCTGGGAGAGAACGCGTGATCAAATAAACTTTTTTAAATTCACAAAATTTTTGTGTTATTTTAAACACAATATAAACTAAAAACTTATAAAATCACTAATTTGATTCAGTTATTTTAAATTTGAATTTATAACTATTCCCTCCTCATTCGAAGACAAATTCCAATGCTGGATGTTCAATCACCAGAGGAGGGGAAGATTTTCAATCCCGGAATCATCCTGATTCCAAAATGGTATATGTCTATGTAAAGGAAGTGCGGCCGCAATTAAAGGTTTTCAGACACCCGGTCGGACAGACAGAATTTGCCGTTTATTTATTTAGAAGAAGATTGTAGCAGTAATATTTTAGTAAAATAATTTGGAAGAAATTTACTTCCTTAAAGAAAAACTTCAACTTAAATGAATAAAAATATAAAGTTACATTTAATTTTTCCTTTTCTTCTTCATTATTATTTTTTATTTTTCCAGTTTGGTGAATATTTTGGATATTCGGTTGGTGTGACAGACGTCAATGGCGATGGGTGAGTATACACGCGGAATGATCAAAATTGTTTATGGTTTCAATTTCATTTCGTCAAATTCTTGAAAACTAAACATTCACTTGACAATAAACCGAACAGAAATTATTCTTTAAATGTCCAGTGAAGTCAGAGCGTCGATTTTTATGAATTTATGTCAGACTACCTTTCAGCGAAGTGATCTTTTTAACTAGATATATACAAAAGCTCTCAGATTTTCTTTGGCAAAAGCTATTGTTTACATCTGTGATTAATATCCTCATCTTTTATTATTACATCATTTCCGCTGTTATAGGGATTAAAGAGTCGGTTCATGAATTTAGTAATATAATACTTGTGAGTTCAATCCCTGCTCCTGGTAGTACAAATTTAAACACAGGAGAAGCAGGGCGAGCAACAACTGAGCAGTATTAAATAAGAACAAGCCGGCATAATACCCTAGTCGTGAACAGCAGAATTTCTATCGTATATAGGGTTTAATTTGAAATTCCCTGAAGGTTACCCTGATCGACAGAAACCTGAAGAAGTACGGAGGGAACAAAAGCCGAAACGTTGAGCTAATAACAACAAATGTGAAATATGTCTTTCTGAAGACGTTTCTTCCAGTATGAGTTCTGGATTATTCTACTATCTCTCCCAAATAAGTACTTTGGAAATCATTCCCGACACTTGCTTGCACCTACTGAATCATTTCACATATGTTTTCAGCAATCCATTGTATAGACATAGCTGAAATTTTATCGGATTAAACAGTAAGATCAAACAAAATCAATTATACATTTTATATTCAGACAGGATATTCGTCGAAATAAAGTAAAATTATCACTTGACAAGGACACATGGCACAGTGGATAAAGGCGTTGGTTAGATCCAGTGACAGGACCCAAACGGTGTGAGTTCACTACTCGGTTAAGGTAGGGAAAATTAACAGGAGATAACTGATAACTGACATCCATTAAACATGACACGTGGAACAGGAACAGTCTACCCCAGTGAGCGAAATAAAGGGTTTAGTCCGACATTCCAACCACATGAAGAAGGCCGGAGCGTACAAACGGCCGAAACGTTGTAATAAATATGGCGACAAAGATGAGGACAATAATCCGAACAATGTATCACTTATTTCACAAACAATTATTGAACAGCACACACACACACACACACACACACACACACAAAATAAAGAATTGAGTAAACACCAGAGACACTTGTAAGATTTCTTTAACGTGGTGCACAGGATAGCAAGATGAATCGTTGCCTAAACCTAATAGTAAATCTTGCCTAGTTACAAAATACTAATAAATATACTAAATTGTACTAAAATCTATTGGAAATCATATTTAGTGCAAACCTTCGTGTATTTCACAAACCATTATTTTTTTCTGAGAATGCCTGCTTCTTGTTAATGGCAACTTCTTGCAACACTTTTTTTCCGTTTTGAGGAATAAATATTTGAATTTTTTTCAAACATGTTGCCTGTCAGTTCCAAAAATAGTTTCTGGTAAGCATTGGCATATGTCTATTTTTTTCTTTTTTTTTTTTTGTGGCGTACTTTTTCTATAACCTTACACCATAAATAATCAAAGAGGCGTCAGTTGAAATTGAACAACAGGTGTTTTTTTCGACACCCCAGCCGTTTAAGATAAATGTTTGTTTGGTTTTGCCCTCATTTATTTATTTTATTTTACTGAAAACAAGTCAATGACATTTTATTTTTTAATCATTTCACCCCAAGCAAGGTAATAAAGCCAATAAGACACAAGGGGTTACCGGGGTGAAAGAAAATGAGAAGACTTTAGAAGGAACCTGAAACCTGATCCTAAACTGAAAATGAGTGTTAAACCTTTACTCCTGTTCAAAAACGAGGAAGGAGTTTGAACTGGGTGATAAGCGAACCTATATATACTATTACAAGATTTTCTTTGCACAAGGAAAATATTATCTTCCAAAAGTTAAATAAAGTATTTAAAAACAAGAAAATTTCGTTCAAATAAAAAGAAGAGTTCTATCCTGCTGTGTAATTTAAATCTTGCTCTATATCAGTGAATACTGGATAATTTCCTCACAGATGAAGAAGAAATTTGAGGCAACAGAGATGTGGTTCTAAAAACAAAACTTGCTGAGAATACCACGGATCACGTGAAAAAGATGAAGTTTAACGGAAAATGGAAGCAAAAGATTACAATTATATAATTTAATCAGAATGAGACTGTTGAAATTTCTAAGACACATAATGAGGAAAGAGGGCTTGGAGAATTCGACACTCAGAGGACATACTGGACTTTTACTGCTACTATAGCATTTCGGTCGATCCATTCTGCAGAATTCTTCAAACGATTAATCCTTAAGGAATCATTCCTTTTTTTCTGCAAAATAAAACCTCTCCTTTATCTTAGACATTTTATATGTAAATAAGGTTGTAGAGCGGAAAAGTTAAACGTTATAATAATTGCAAAATCATTATTAAGAATATTTTCAGGAAAGATTATTTATAGACACAATCTCACTGGACTTTGTTAGATCATTACTCTGAAAATGCAACATTATAAATATTCCTCTTCTTCTATGTGCCGTGTCCCTTCAGGACGTGGGCGATCATGGTTCTCCACAATTTCCTAGCCTTCACAGCTCTCAGTAAGATTTCTCTTTTCGTTATCTCTCCCAATTCCTTTACTCAAGCCATCTATTTATACAAACCCGTTAGGTAGGTCACTCGTTGCTATTCGGTCTTGCCTTTGTAAACCGCTGCCGTTGACAACCCTTTATCGTTGACACGTCTAACAACGCACCTATGAATTCTCAACTTACACACCATTGGCTCCGAGTTCTGCCTCTTCTTATTTTTCTCTCAGTCGCTAGCTTTGTTGAATAATACCGACCTTTCAGGTCATCTAGCTTTCTTTTCCTTTTTCGGTTGGGGCCCGGAGTGTCGTCTCGATTGCGTTGATTCGGGTTTCCTAAAAACATACGATACTTGGATTAACAGCAAAGTCTAGTGGGAACCCCCTTATATATGTTGTGTATCACAGACAAGCTTGCGTAATTCCTACCGGTGGCCGTGGTAAACGTTTGTCTCTTTTCGCCCGAACGTAAGTCGAAATTAAGTCTGGAATAAGAAGAGCTTGGAAAATATGATACTCATAGGACAGAATGAAGGCAAGAGGGACAGAGGAAAACAACGCATAAGCAACTAAGTGAGCTTGAATAATGGGTGGTGGAACAGGATTTAGGAGAAATAATAGAAAGGGCAGGAACTTATGGAGGGCCATGATCGTCGAAGTCCTGGAGTGGGACGGCATATAAAGAAGTAAACTGACATAAAATTATATTGATGTAAATTTCGAAACCTCAACTAGTTAAATAGGCATTGATATTGTTTTTTTTTTTAATTCCAGATTAGATGACATCATGGTTGGTGCACCAATGTATTCTGAATTCAAAGATGGCTCTTATGAAACTGGCCGGGTGTTTGTATTCTATCAATCACGAAAGGTAATGGTTCTTTTTAGTTCTTTTTTGATTTGACATTTCGAAAGGAATTTTTTGCCGCAAATTTTAAAAACTGACTATATCTTCATGTTGAGCTTTTCTGAAGTAAATTTTTTTCGAGTAATCAAGTGATAATATGTAAAAGCACCCTCACACACCCGCACGCACGCGCGCGCGCACACACACACCCACAGACACATACATAGACACACACACAATTCTAACATCGAATTAATTTCTGTATGTTACAATTAAACATATAAAGTGCCAACAGTTCATGTCAGATTATTTAATGACTCAAAGTTTTGACTGGCTTCACTCATCTATTCTATTTAACATATTTAAACGCACATTGGCTACCCAAAATTAAACACATACACTGACATATATATATATATATATATATATATATATATATATATATATATATATATATATATATATATATATATGTCTGTGTGTGTCTAGAAATAGGTATACAGCAATAAAAAAATAAAACCTGCACACAAAATGTCTTGTATTGATTATACAAACAATAATAAACATACCGATATTAAAAATATCAATCCCTCAAATATTCATAGTTTGTCCCCGACATTCAACAAACTCATCTTTACCGGCAAAACATTTATCATAATTATTTATTAAAAATAAAATTATAATAGATGTACTATAATAAAAATTATGAAAATAGAAATATTATATATACATCTACATATATATATATATATATATATATATATATATATATATATATATATATATATATATATATTATAATTATTTTAAAAAATGATTTTTAAAAAATAATTATAATTTAAGCTCTACTTCTGTATGAAGCACTGTTTTTTAAAAATGGAAACAAAAATACCAAAGAACCCCGGATTATTTACCTAACGTGATCTTTACTATTTTTCATATTTATATATTATATATATATATATATATATATATATATATATATATATATATATATATATATAAAAAGAGAGAGAGAGAGAGATATTATATATATGTGTATCTATAGTGATGGGATTTTTTATTTTTTATTTTACAAATTTTTTTAAAAAAAAAATGGTGGCCGTGCTTATAAAAAAAATTCCCATCACTGTAGATACATACAAATAAGAAAGTGCATGATTCAAGAGAGTAGATAAGAGAAATTTTATTTTTAATTCACTTTTTCAATTGCGCACAAGTGAAAGGCATGCGTCTAGTTCCAGTGAATAGAAGTATTGTTCAGTCGTTTGGGATCGAGCACTTTCATCTACACTTCTCATCATTATCAAGGTTAGAGATAGTGCATGAATTCTACTTGCGTTTTTCTTTTTTTACTTTTTTTTTGTTCGGTATTATAGCGTTTGCTGTTTGTGCGTTTTGATGACGTTGCACACAGGCTGGCACACAAGCTAAACTAGGCTGAATGTATTCATCAGTTGTTAAATTCATTTAAAATCCCAGTTTCCAAACTGAAGATGTTTAGTGCTAGTTTTCATTCCTTTTTTTTTTTATGTGTGTTTGAAGAATCATCTTTTTCTCAATAGAAATAATGATATATATATATATATATATATATATATATATATATATATATATATATATATATATATAGAGAGAGAGAGAGAGAGTTAGGATTATTATTTTATATTAAACACTAGCAGCATGGCTCGGCGTTGCCCGTGCTTGATTCAAAGGAGTGCCCTTTGCCGTGCTGATGCTGCTACATGCCTTACTTCTTGCCTATCTCACACTGCGAATATTTTCTAAGCTCTATACTAAACATTAAATCTGTTACGAAAAAAGAACTAAACAAAATGAACACAAATCGATCAGCTTTAAGAAATGACTCGTAACTGGAAAAACCGAATGAAAAAAGAATGTTAACAACAAATACTTTTTCACACCCAACCCAGTTCTGCGAAATCAGAATCAATGTTGAGTTTAAGCAAGCGAATGAGCCAATTGGAGTAAAATCCCATGCAGATTTAAATTTTTCCTACTTGTGACGAATGCAGCTATCGATTTTTTTGCATGCTAGCATGCTAGTTAACATTCGTGTCAGTCAGTTGTTGACTCTCATGCTGGCCAATAGAATCTTCCTGCCTATTCGTGGCAGCCAGCTATAGGCTCTCATTCTGGCCAGTAGAAAATTGCTGCAAACTACATGAAAACTGCCGTAGAAGCATGAAAAAATCGATTATTTCCACTATCGATGGGAGTTGGGAAATACAAAGTCGGTCTTGGCCTTCCCACTAACTTGGAGCATGTGCATGTAAATTTTGGTGCAAATCCATCGAAAATTGCGGCCATGCATTCGTTACACACACACACACACACACGCACACACACATCCTGCCTTTTATAGATAGAGATAAAGGGAGATTACTGTTTTATTTTAATTTTTTTCTTAAAGAAAAATTATATAAAATTAAAAGAACCTATAAACAATAAAAAATCTCTACCCAGCACCTGAAGATTACATAGTCCATGAAACTCCGACTCGTGTCACTGGTGAGGGATAATGTGTATATCTATTAATATATACTTAATAGCTATGTTATATTACATCGAGTATTATTTTATTAACATCAGCAATCAATGTGGGATAACGTACATTCATATATATATGAACAGTGAAGTCAACAGTCTGTGTGTTGACTTCACTGTTCACTTTTATATTTACATACATGCTGATATTGAGCATACCTTAAAACTATATTTCTTCATATATATATATATATATATATATATATATATATATATATATATATATATATATATATATGATTTAGGATAGGATAAGGAACCCGTAGAAAACGTTTATAAATTTAACATGTTTCCCTTTTATTTAAGCTTCGTCATAAATGACAGAGAAAATAAAAATGGCATTTCAATTTTTGTGTTGTTTGGTTTTCGTTGGTTAAGTAGAACTCACGTGCATTTGTCTTGACGGGTATTGTTCGTGTATATAATTCATGAGTGTTCTTGTATCACAATTCTTATTGGTCTATGCGGGATTCAGTTGATAATATATGCGCGAGTGTGTGCGTCTAGTGGACATTTTTATTTATGTATGGTAGTTTCCAGTTGTGGTTATTGGTAGACTGATTTTAGATTCTTTATGTATTGATTTTATAAAAGTTGGCGATGAAATATATATCAGGATTCCTTCTAAGTATTTTCTACGTAATAAATTATGTTCTTTTCTTACTCGGGTGGCACTTATTCACTCAAAACCTCCTATTGGTCCCTTACCCTATCATTCTGTCGCAATCTAATCCATATTTGATACTAAATATATATATATATATATATATATATATATATATATATATATATATATATATATGTTTGTCTGACGATCGCTAAAGCGTGAAACCCAGGGTCACAAACTCACATCTATCCAACCAAATATGTTAACTCTATCTCTGATATTGAGCGCTTTCTAATAAGTGCCGCGCATATAATATATAAATAATTATACATACTTATATTTATTTATATTTATATACACTTTTCACACACACACACACACACACACATATATATATATATATGAATGAGTGTGTGTGTGTGTGTAGAAAAGACTGTATTTCGCCCACAAAACAAAGGAAAAGTAAGCAGTCTTTGTGAGTAAAGTGCTCAATATTAAAAAAATAGATAATTATAAACAAAGTAAAATATTTACACTTATCTTCTTGACTCAAAGTTTTATAGAAATGATATCCGCACGTCAGGATATTAGTAAATTTTCTGTTTAAAAAACTCGGTGAAGCGGGTAGTAAAGCTGGAGTGACCTCTTCAGTGAAGCCGATGTAGAGAGGCCTTGTCCAGAAAACTGCGCCAAACCGACGTGATCGAAAAGAATACAGGATATTAAGTTTGGGTCCAGCTTGGCTGGAGGAGTTACCGGAAGGAATTCAATGATATCAACGAGGCACCTCATATTCTGTCTATAGCTTTTACTATAGTTCGGAGTTTTTCTTCTTGTAAACTAGTTGCTACAAGAGATTTTAAAGTATCTGCTATTTAACCCATAGCTGAGAATGACATTAGAGAAAGAAACTCACTTAGTCAGCCTTTGAATTCTCCTCCACCTTTCTCTTCATTTCTTGTCTTTTAATTAGAGTAGCATTTTTAAAAATTGTGGCCAGTCTCGTTACGGTGAGCTACTAGTGCGTTTGATGCATTGTTTTGTAAAATATCCCTTTTGTGTTCATATAAACTTTATTTAAACTTTTGACAGTAATTACATGTGATAGAGTAAATGTATATATCGTTATCTTAAAACACACACACACACACACACACACACACACACACACACACACACACACACACACACACATATATATATATATATATATATTTGGTTGGATAGATGTGAGTTTGTGACCCTGGGTTTCACGCTTTAGCGATCGATCTATCCAACCAAATATGTTAGCTCTATCTCTGATATTGAGCGCTTTCTAATAAGTACCGCGCATATAATATATAAATAATTATACATATATATATTTATTTATATTTATATACACTTTTCACACACACACACACACACACACACACATATATACATATATATATATATATATATATATATATATATATATATATATATATATATAAAGAATTAATGTATTTTATTTCTTAATCCGACATATTTTATTACTTTAAACATTATTTTAGTGGATACTAATTAAAACATGGGTATCCACTAAAATATCAATCTCAATCTCTCTCTCTCTCTCTCTCTCTCTCTATATATATATATATATATATATATATATATATATATATATATATTTAATTCGTATTTCATTCGTATATGTGAATTTGTGACTTAAATTATTTTAAATGATCTTTTTTAATATACAGAATAAATAATATATATATATATATATATATATATATATATATATATATATATATATATATGGGGAGTAACATTTTAGAATTAGAAGACTTTTAACGGTAGGCCATTTAGCATATCTAGGCTGCTGTTGGTATTTGCTTTAGCAATACAGATTATAAAATCTTTTCATATTTTTTTCTTCAGTGTTGGCTTATTCCATAATATTTCTCTGCGTGGCTTAGAAAATAATAATGTCATTAATTTAAATAATCTCTTCTATTTTATCTAACTTGTATAATATGAAGCCCAAATCTTCAGCTGTCAAATAAAAAAAGTTTTGCGTCTTAATACGTTATTAGACTATTTACTGCTAATAAAAACTCAAGTGGACCTCATCTTAATGTGTTAATTCCATAATTTTTACCAGGGTATCTAGACAGTAAACGTTCTTTGAAAGCAACAGAAAATTTACAAGATTATTATATTTTTTTAAATTGCTTGCAATAAAAAAAATATCGTAAAATCTCGCAGTGTAATCGAGTATATATGTATATATATATATATACTACCTATATTTATGCATTTGATAATATATATATTGTGTGTATTTAGGCAGCATCTTTTCATTCATACACATTTCATTAAATAATATAGGCAAGTGTTGTCTATTTATTTTATGTAAATTTTTTTTCGTAACGTCTGATAAGTTTAATAACATTATCATTGAACGAAGAAAGAAACTCACAATATTGATCCATATTTTTTAAATTTTTTTTTAGTACAATCTAAGCTTTCGGCTTACATAAGCCATTATCAAAGATGTCAGTAACAACATATTAAGCCATATACGGACACGACAGTGATGATAATCTGTCATTGTTTACATAGATGATTTCTAAGCAACGATAAACACGTGCATATATATATATATATATATATATATATATATATATACTCGTGTAGTACAGTGCAAGATTTTATGATATATAACTGTAAATTTTTCCGGTGGTGGGGTTAAAATTCATTCCAAAAATTAGGCAGCTTATACACGAATATATATATATATATATATATATATATATATATATATATATATATATATATATATATATATGTGTGTGTGTCTGTGTGTTCGTATTTTAGCCAGGTACAATTATGAGTGTCTATGTGTGTGTGTGTGTGTGTGATTAAGTGCAACCAGGAAGATGAAAAATATCGTTTGAGTTATTAATTGCATATATGTAATAATGAAAATATTCCATGTTTGAATATGAAAAAACTCAAAACTCAAAAAGATGTGAGATGTATTTTTCGTTATTTCTTTTATTCCTCTTCATTAAATACAGAGTGCGATGAATAAATTGTCGTCTAAATAACGCAAAAGAATGAAATTAACACTGACATCTCATTTTAACAGATATATTCACTACAATTACACAAAAATATCTTGAAATAAAGAGTCAATTTATTCAATAAATTCGCCACAGGAATCTCCTGCATCTCTTCTGGACGATCTCCTTGTTTAAGTTAGTGAATGCTGACATAATACTTGCTTTCAGTTCATCTTTCGTGTTACATGGAGTTTTGCTGGTCTCTCACTCAGTTTCCCCTCTCACATGATAATCAAGTGGAGTTGCAGTCTGGTGGCCAGATTTAAGGGCTGATGTGATCGCAGAAATTGTCTGATAAACACAAGTAGGATCTCTTGCTTGTGTGGCTTGGTGCAAAGTCCTGTTGCCAGCAACGACCCTCTTGCCCCAGGGTATCACTGCCTTCTCAAGGCACTTGATGTAGGCCTTTATGTTCATTCTGAGGCCCTGTGACAAAATGAATGGAGGCATAACGTCGCCACCACTAGTGATCAATACACACACCATGTTGTTGACTTGATATATCATTCAACTCTTTCCGAATCCTCTGAACTGTCGTTAGGTTGGCACCCAAACACACTGAAATTTTCACACTAGAGCCTCCGGCGCGAATGCCAAGCAGTGCAGCTTGCCGTTTCCAAATGTCTGGCGAACTGAAATGCATCATGGTGCTCTTTTTGGCATAGACACTTCCTATTTGAGCCGACTACACTGTATAGTTGACAAAATCAAAAACAAACAACGCGCATGCGCAAAATTAAAAGCATAAAATGGCGATAATTTACCCATCGCACTCTGTAATGGCAATGATTTTTTTATTATCTTTTCTAATTCCATTTTCTTTGTCTATGAAATCTGTTTCTTTAAACAGCACAGATTCTCGTATCAGAATGGAGTTAACTTGCTTGGAAAGGTAAACAAAGGCAGATTTGGTTGGGACATATCCGCCCTTTCTGATATCAATTATGATGGATTCAACGGTAAGAGAAACATTTTCAATTCTTCATATTGTTTAACTTTGAAGAACAACGAATTATTATGGATTTTCGATATTTTTGACATATAGAAATAGAGATCATTCATATAATCGACTTTGGTCGCCATATTCACGAAAGCTTTGTGCCAACAGTATCTGTAAAATGATGGAACTCTGCGAACTTTTATATTGTCTCCTAAATGCTTTCTTCATTTGCCTTAATAAGAATAAGAATAACAGCACAGTATCTAAATGTGTTTGAAAGATTTTAAATTTCATTATTATTTTGTTTCAAACATTCGATTTGACTACCGTTTACTGGGCTTAAGGTTCCGGAATCAGTCAACGATTTGAATAAAGCAGTTTACTAATTGGCTAAAATAATGGCGGAATATCATCAGAATATCTTGACAAATATATCTCAGACCATTTTTACAATGTAACCCTGTACAAGACCCATGAGCCACTCGAGGTAGAGTGTTACAGAGCAAGAGGCACCACTCCAAGCAAGATGATAATGCCATCAAGATGCAAGAGGGCACAGGAAGTGAAAGAGAAAGAAAAATATTTAAAGGGAACCGGAAACCCAATCCTAGACAGAATAGAAGTGATAAACCTCTACTTCTGTCAAAAGACCGGGGAGGTGTTTGAACCAAACGGGAGACAAACCTATCTACTCCTATTGAAATTATGATCATAATCAAATTATTGTTACTACTTTATTTAGCGTTAATGGCAATTTGGTTGAATATACTTGCTTTGAAATTTCTAAGGTACATAAAAAGGAAAGAACGCTAGGAAAATTTGATACTCACAGGACAGATCGAAGGCAAGAGGGTTAAAGGGAAACAACACATAACCTACCTAGTTAGCTAGCTTGAGTAAAAGAATAGCGAAACCAGCTTTAGGAGAGATAACAAAATGGCAAAATTTATTAAGAGCTACAAAGAACAGGAAGTTGAGGAGAGACACGATTGCCAACGTCCTGGACGGACACGGTACACAGAAGAGGATTATTTTATATTCCAAAAAAGTGAAAATGTGAAGTTTTAGATAAAACGAAAACAAAAAGTATATATACTTAACATCAGGTAGAGAGAATTGAAATTTCCATGTCACATAATGAGGAAAGAGGGTTTGGAAAATTTGATACTCACAGGACAGATTGAATGTAAGAGGGACAGAAGAAAACATTGCATAACCTATTTAGTGAGCTTGGGCAAATGGTTAGCGGAACAAGTGTTAGGAAAGATAAAAAACAGGCAAAAATTATTAAAAGCTACAAAGGTCAAGAAATTGTGGAGAGCCATGATCACCAACGAAGACTGAAGGCGGGTATTGCACAATGATAGGTGAGGTTATCCTATATAAATTATTATTTATTCTTATATTTTCTTTGATCTAATTCTTTGCTAACTTGATTATCAACATTTTACGTGTGCATATCTATTCAATTTTTTCATTGTTGTCCCCCAGGACTTTGGGTTCGGTAGAGATAATCAATCCAACACAATCCACTGTATTTTGTACAAAGAATTTCCTGATTTAATGAAATTTGGATGTGTCAAAAATTTGTGAAATTAAGCCTGGGAAAAAAAAAATAACTGACAAGTCATAAATCCTTATTTACTTTTAATCATCTTAAAACATTTTGCCTGTTTCAATTATCTTCCTTAATCAGATTTAAACAAATGCTGTATCCAAACAATTTTGAAACAAACGGATAGAATTTGTCTTTTATATCCAAGAGATTCTAGGAAGTCACTGAGTCACCCTAATCCCTTTAATGAGGTATAAAAAGAGTGTTCATTTTTAACATCCAAATAACATCGACATTTGTTTCCAATCATTTCACCCTAATCTCAGCAATAAAACCACTAAGACGAAATAATGAGACCTAATTGCAAATCTAGTACTGCGCTTAAATTCGTAAAGTCGAGGTAGCGAAGAAGAAAGCTCATCAGAACAATGACTATGAAAATATTCCTAGAAAAAGGTACAGGGCAGCTACATTGCGATGGTTGGAAAGTGACTGAAGCCAAGATGCCAGATCAGGACCAATAACATTGCAGATTCTTCTTTGGATTTCATCAAGAATCTCTAAATACAAAGCAGAAGCACTATACCAGATCTGACAACAATATTTAATGCATGGACAAATGGTAGACTTATACATGTGTAAGATAGATTCTGGGGAGAAAAATTGTCTAGCATGACACAGTGAACCAACTTCTTAACAGCAGACCGAGCAATATAATCTTTCAACTTTCATGTCTGCGGAAAAAGTTAACCGAGAAATCGCAATGACTTACTCTCTTGGAAGCTAGCATCAGCCATGCTGATGGAAGATAAAAAGGTTTCTTTGAGACAATTAAAAAAAGCAGTTTCGTTTTGGGTTATGTTAGGAGGCAGTCTGTACGGATAGAAAGGGAAGATAACGGTTAACCCTAGATTTGAACAGGTTAAAATTTTAGTGATCGGGGAAGCATCATCTTGAGCCACTCGATGTAGAGGGTTGCAGAATAAAAGGCACAGTTTATGGGGATATGTGGGGAAGGGTCAAAGATTTGAACGGTCAAGCCCCTAGATTTGAATAAAAACAGTTTATGGAGATATGTGGGGAAGATAACGGTTTAGATTTGAACAGGTTGTAGTGATCGGGAGGCATCCTCTTGAGCCACTCGAAGTAGAGGGTTGCAGAATAAAGGTTTGGGGAATGGGGGAAAAACGGTCAACACTAGTTTATGGAGATATGTGGGGAGATAACGGTTAACCTGAGGTAGATTTGAACAGGTTATGGAGATATGTGGGGAAGATAACGGTTAACCCTAGATTTGAACAGGTTAAGATTGTAGTGATCGGGGAGGCATCCTCTTGAGCCACTCGAGGTAGAGGTTTGCAGAATAAAAGGCACAGTTCATGGGGATATGTGGGGAAGATAACAGTTAACCCTAGATTTGAACAGGTTAAGATTATAGTGATCTTGGAAGCATCCTTTTGGCATTCGGTTCCATAGAGCAGTGGTTCGTGGGAAGATACTGTTCAAGTGGAAGAGCGAGAGGCTTGCCAAATCCTGCGGTTAGAGGGTGGAAAAGATTTCATCGCCCATAAGGACTCGGAGACATTTTTGGACTCTATATAGGCTGGAGAGTGTGGTCTTGGCAGCTCTCGCCAAAATATGAGGGAGTCGACCATTTTACGTGTATCTTTAATGATGGTTCGTATGTATGAGTTCCATTTGAGGTCGGTATGAGTGTAAGGTGTAATTTGCACAGTACCACAGGTGCACAGTACCTCTCCGAGGGGGACATCCGTTCATCGTGACTGGCGTTAGTTCATAGTTCAATCGACGATGATGGAATGTAACTAGTGGCATTATTGCCTTGCTTGGGATGAAACAGTTAAAAGAAAACGGTTAGGCATGGGGCTAGCAACTGTTTCACGTAAAAAGGTATTTGCTACGGAAACCAGGCTAGCAAAGCCTACCGTGTTGTCGTTGTGGACTCTGTGGACATGTGCTCCACGTGAAAGTGTACAAGACGAGATATATGTAATATTTTTTTTCTTGTAGATTTCGTGACATCTGCACCTTATGGAGGTAAAGATGGAAACGGTGCTGTATTCATTTACCATGGTTCTTCAAATGGTGTTATCACTGAACCTGCTCAGGTAAGTGTGTATTTTTTTTCAAAAATAAACCCTTTGCTTGAAATAACCAAACACTTAGCGCCCGTTGCCATTCTCCTAACTGTTTTCTTTTGAAATTTCTGGGTTATGATACTTCGAGCATGACTCGATGTGTCGACCCCTCCCTGAGCAATGTGACACCTTTCTGTCATTATATGCTGTGCAAGTGTTATCAGATTTAACACAACTCTGTCCCTCCCCTCAGAAAGAAAATCGTTGTAGTTTCTGGTTCATAGTGAAATCTGTCAATGCAACAGTGAATCTACTCAAATAAATATATAAATCATTTATGGGCAAATGCGGCTCCATTGGCTTTCCGAATGGCACGCCTAGGATTTCCGGGAATGAGCGTGTGAGCAACGATGAGGTCTTGGAGAAGATGCAGACAAGGAGGAGACATTATGAAGAGGCAGCTGAAGTTTCTGGGACACATAATGAGGAAGGAGGGTCTTGAGAATCTAATACTCACAGGTCGAATAGAGGGATAGAGGGAAAGAGAGACAAGGGAAAGCAGCGCGTGACATTCCTGGCGGGCTTGAGCAGGTGGATGACAGAACGTGGTCTGGAGGAGATAGCAGTGGGAAGGAACTTGTTGAGAGCTGCAAGGGATAGAGGAAGAGGTGGAGAGCCATGATCGCCGACGTCCTGAAAGGACATGGCACATAAAAAGAAAGCAAATTTAATGAGGAAAATAACATTTATTTAATATTTTCTATCGTTCTCACTTATTCACTCGCATGATATCTCATACATAAAAACAATGATCAAATAAAATGTTTCTTGAATTTTCTTAACTTTTCTTTGAAGGTAACGTTTCCAACATTTTAAATCATTAGCGATTCTAACTAAGGAAGATCATACGTGTAAATATCATTTCCTTTAGAAACAGGACGTTCATAAACACTTTTTTCCTCTGGAGAAGAAATAAATTTTTTATTTGATAAATTATTTCTTGGATTTTTGAGTGAATAAGTAAGAAACGAATCACATGTAACAGTGTCTTTTAATAACTGTTACCTGTAATAATATTATCCCCAAAATTGTAATTATTAAAAAGTCTTTTTTTCCAAATAACAATCGACCCTTCCCCATTTCTAAGGCTTCCGCGTATTAGCCTTCTGTAGTGAAAATGGCCGAGGCATCTTCAACGAAAAATGACTTTGTATCTTTTTAGTAGTGCGATCCGTCATTATGATGAACACTGTCTGATGCGGCCCACTGGTCGGAAAAGTTTCTCCATGCCTGGTGTAAATAATAAGGCCCAAGCTGATTTCATTACATTTTTGTCAACAAATTGAAAATAAATTCCTCAATAATATTATAAATGCATAAAAAAAAAGATTATCTTATTAAAGGCGACGTTTGATGAGGTGTTTTAACTATAAAACAAGCAAATGAGAATTTTCATGTACAGAATTATAGATATCAAATGTCAGTACTTCAATAAAGAGAATTGCTTTATTTTTTTTATAATAATCAATGTTATAACTGGTCATAAAGGATAAATATGTTATAAATTGTATATTAATATGTAATACGACCACTTTCAGCCATATTCAATTGTTCAGTCCTAATAATCTTCTGAAGAAACAAAGCAAATAGAGAGTCCCACGGTTTTTAGGCGACAATACAAAACAATCGTTTCCGGAGAACTCTCTAGTGTTTTCAATTGGATTCGTATTTTAGAGTTGGCTCGGCCAGAACATGATTTCGAAGCCGATTTTCTCAACAAGCTTTTGACGAAAGAAAGAATGGGGAGGACTGTTGTTTTGTTGGAAGACAACATTTCTATCATGATAGATGCTCGTTGCAGTGGGAAGCAATTCACAACGCATATATCCTGTTACTTTTCACATGTAATTAACTGTGATGAATAAAAAAAAAAAGAAAAAAAGAAAGAAAGCTCCCCAAACAGACCGGGTGATATTTTTCACCGGATACATTTCAAGAGCATTACTGACCAACACAAATAGACCTTCATTACAAAAGATCACTTACTTTGTAACGCTGACTGAAGTGACTTTAATCATTGACATTTTGCGGTCCCAAGAGAGATTTTTAACGCATCTTTTGGATTAAAAACTTTATTTAGATACGGGCACACGATTATTTGGATAGTTTTAAAATTCCTTGAATAACTGAGATTTGATAACCGACGAAATTTTGTTTAGCAGCACAAAGAGAATTATAAAAGAATGATTTGCCTAAGTGATACGTACTTAGCCATTTTAACAATTTCAAATGCTGATGACAGCTAATCCGAGGGCGAGTTTATTGTACAAACGTGATTAGACACTTTTCTACAAGATTAATTGGACTGTTGCATTCTCAATGACCAAGTGTGTAGATTCTTCGTCTGGTGCAGGAAAGTTTTTGGCAAAAACGTCGCATCACACATGTCTGTCATCTTATTACAATCCACACTTGAATACTTGCCGCTTCTGTCTTTTCTGAAAGCCAGAATTTAGTCAGTGGTTAGGAACGTGAAGACAAAAGAAGGGTTTTATAATCTTAGTTATTCAAATATGCATATCGGTAAATGTTCATTTGCTTTTTATGGTTGCGTATATTTTGCTATAATGCAGCATATTGTAATTTTTGAAAAGAATTTTTTTAGATCTATATGATATAGATTTTAACGTATTTGTTTTGCTCTAAACATTGGATGGCTTCCCGACGGGGAATTTTTACTTGCAATTCAGTTGCACTGCATTGCCCATTTATCGATATCTTAGTCTGCCCATATCTATCTATCTATCTATCTATCTATCTATCTATCTATCTATCTATCTATCTATCTATCTATCTATCTATCTATCTAAATCTCAGTCTGTTGCAATCTAACAAGCGAGAGTAATCTGATTCTAATTAATGTTACTCTCAGAAAATTCCCATTAATCTTTGAGGACGGTTAATCTTGTGATAATCATACTTATAAGTTTTCTTTATTAGTTTTGTTATAACAAGAACAAAAAGTCATACCGATGCAAGAAACTATTTACTAAATGACTTAGTTTGGTAGATTCTCGATAGAACCAGTTAATTAACTCCATAATTACCGTTGCTACTCTCTTTTCAACTGCAACTATTTCCCTCTAGTAGCGGGTGGACACTAATATCTTTATTTAGATAAGTAAAAAGACAAACAAGTTCTCATTTACGATTATAACAATAAACTACATACAAAAGAATTCTCCAGAACTCCTTGTTAACCACTTCTGAATTGGCCGGAATGGGCGTTCATAGAGATAATCCGACTCCTTAAAGCTTGAAATTCAGCTGATAGTAGTGACGTATCTGTACGCGCTTATCTCCCTTGGCTAGTATCATTTACTTCGGAAATGTATCTGATATTTTATTGTTCTGTTGGTAACGTTTTCTGAGTGAATTACTTTCTACTTCTCTGCAAAAAGTCTCTGGTGTGAATATTTCAATTTCAAAAACACACACAAGTAGTTAATAAGTGGCAGGCTCGGTGCCTTATATTTTATATCTAAAAAATAATTTTAGATAATCTTCTTTGTCTTCAGTATGTCGACGGTCATGGCTCACCATAACCTCTTTTCCTTTGTAGTGTTAGCAACATTTACCCCTTTGTCATCCCTCCTACCCTCTGTTTCGTCATTCATCTACACAAGCTAATCAGGTAGGTGGCCCGCTGTCTTCCCTTGTCCCTTTTGAGTTTGATATGTCCTGTGAGTGTTAAATTCTCCAAACCCTACTTCCTTCCTCATTATGTGTCGAAGAAATTTTGACGCTTTCTGATTCTGAGTATAAATGTCCTTTATGTTCCATTTAGCTTAATACTTATTTTAGACACAGAATTAAGACCTGTTTTAGATACAGGATTAGGATTTGTTTCAGATACAGGATTAAGATTTGTTTCAGATACAGGATTAGGATTTGTTTTAGATACCGGGTTGACCTGTTTTAAATACAGGATTAAGACCTGTTTAAGTCACAGGATTAAAACTTGTTTTAGATATAAGGATTAAGACCTGTTTTAGATACAGCATTAAGGCTTGTTTTAGATACAGGATTGACCTGCCTTAAATACAGGATTAAAACTTGTTTTAGATATAAAGATTAAGACCTGTTTTAGATACAGGATTAAGGCTTGTTTTGGATACGTGTTTGCGTTTTGTAGGAGTTAAAGAATATAAAAATTGTCCCTAATTGTTATTGTCCCAAGCACTTCTATAGCCATTTTCAAGGGTGTTTTGTCTCTGATGCTATTTTTCCTCGTAATTTGAGTGTTATGTTGTAGATTTTGTTTGTGTTGTTTTTTGTTGAAAAAGGAGAAATCCTTCCAAGCTCTCACGTGCCGCGCGCGACTGGAATTCGCGTGAGCATCTTTCTATTTTTTATTTTTAAAATCTTTCAACAAGCCATTTCCACTATTAAATGATGTAAGTTTGATCGTAGGAGAGAATTGTTTGATATATAGTGCCTGCCGAATGGCGAGATGTTTCTGATAATGGGATTTATATAGAATTTTTGTGTTTTCAACCAGAATTTTCTTGAAAGTTTCTTATATATTATGGATTAATAAATGTTTTTTTATGTCACTATGGTCAGATAAGTAACACGTAATATGTCTACTCAAGGAGGTGGTAGTTTGTCCGATATAGTTATTTGATTTGTGACAAGAAACAGTCTTGTACTGGGCCTTGAAATTGATACACTATGTTGGTTATCGCTAGTTTAGATTTAATGGGTTTATTTTGATTAGTGGTCACAAGATTTTCGGTCTTCCATTTTCTGTAATATACATTTTATATGTTTTTCGGGAATTACTGCAGAAATATGGTGTTTAATAATTATTCGTATAGCGAATTCATCCTGCTTATAACAGTTGTGCATCTGGTTGCATTAATATATATATATATATATATATATATATATATATATATATATATATATATAAACTTTCAACACATCATTCCCACTCTTAAATAAGGTTAGGTTGATAGTGGGAGAGATGATTAATATACAGGGCCTCTCTTATAACGAGATGTTTCCGGTAATATGGTTTATATAGAATTTCAGTGTTTTCGAACAGAATTTTTCCTAAGGGTTCTTGTAAATTTTGGGTTGATAGTTTTTTTTTTATAGCACTTTGATCTGATAAGTGACACGCGAGTCGTCTACTCAAGGAGGTGGCTGTATGTCAGATATACGTAATTGATTTTTCACAAGAAACAGTCTTGTACTGGGCAATGAAATGGAGAAACTATATTGGTCATCGCTAGTTTAAATTTGGTTGTGTTATTTTGATTAGTGATATTTTTGTAATATATTATGTTTTACAAGTTTTCAGGAATTACAGCAAAAATATGGTGTTTAATGATTCTTCGTATAGCGAATTCGTCCTATTTATAATTATTGTGCATCTAGTTAAAGCAAAATAATTATGTTTTTTTGTGGGATATTTTTATTACTGGTTTCTTGTATGTATGTAAAATTATATATAGATACCATTTTGGTAAATACTTTTAATGAAATTAATTTTTTAAAGAACTCCATATTAGAGTAAATAAACAATATTTTTTTATATATTTTTTTGTGTTTTTTTTTTTTAGGTAATCGAAGCGAGCGTAATTAATCCTTCCTTAAAAACTTTTGGATATTCTTTGTCCGGTGGTTTGGATCTTGATGGCAATGTCTATCCAGGTTTGTGGGCTTTATTTTTTTTTGCTGCTTTTTTTTTATGTGTCACTTTGATATTTACAATTTTGAAGAAGATGAGATAGCTGTAGCTATTATTGCAGCTGTTTTACGGCCATATCACGTTGAAACACAGGTTCCCGTACGATCAGCGAAGTTAAGCAACGTCTAGCCCGGTCAATACGAAGATGGGTGACCGTTTGGGGGATACAAAGTGCTGTAAGCTTGGATCTGCGCTTGATGTAATTTTTAATCATTGATCTGAGAAATCGGTTGTATATAGCCGGCAAGTTAATTATTTCCGGACGGATATGGCGCCCAGCATGACATCCATATAAACATCTCCATCTGGTGAGATTATTTAAGAACAAGACTCGAGTTTTTAGGTTAATGTTTTGGTTTTGTATCAAATTGCGATGTTAGCCGAAACTACCTCTAACAGAAAAGTTCATATTTGCAAGGCAGGATTTGATTTCTACCTGGGCTATCCAGACTAGAGATAAATTAATTCGTGATTCCATCCAAAAGTTTATTCTTAATATAGTAGTTTCCCTTAATTGTAGTTGCAAATTATAAAAGCAATTGACGCCGCGAATTGTTACAAGATGTCGAATTATAAACCCATAATCACATTTATGAAGAATCATTCCTTGCTCAAAGGAATTGAACTCAAAATAATTCTCATATCATGTGTGGCTGTTTGAGGACAAACAATACTAAGACAGGAATACTATACAGCAGAATTTTTCTTTTTTGAGTTTGACTGTAAGAACGAAAGTTATAAGAAGACTATCAAGTCGCTACACTACACCCATCCACTGTTTAACATAGAGTCTTCCCAGGTATGTTAAGGTTTCAAGGTGTTTAAATATGCATGAATTTTCAAGACTGGGGCATATTAGAAGATGTTCCATAGTCTGTAATTACCTATATTGGCAGTTGAGATAATCATCGGTAGTATAACCCCATTTCTGAAGGTTGGCTCTACAGCAACCAACAGCTGTTCGAAGGCGATTCAGGCAGGACCAGAAGGGTCAGGCATCACAGGAGTTAGGAATTGGGAAAGATTCTGTAGGGGTGAGGAGAGAGAGAGAGAGAGAGAGAGAGAGAGAGAGAGAGAGAGAGACTGACTGTGTTCCACGTTGTTAAGGTGACTGCATAACAGGTACAGACGCCTAGTAGGAGCTTTGTTGTTTAGTGGTTCGACTAAATGTAGAAAGCAAGAGTAAACAATAGGAATAAACACATAAAAAATACTGACCAGGTGTTTTCGAATACAAATTGAACAGTCACTTCAAGGACGTGTATCAAAACAGCAAGCGATTTTTGATGTCACCGATAAAAATAAAATCACCTGACGAATCGACATGAACCAAGCAATATATTTAAACCAATATAAAAAAAAATATTTTCCCAAAGTGGCCCCGAAAGGTGCCACGTGCAAAGTGTCCTTGAGAGATTTAATGCTTACAGACTCCAATATAAGTTGTCAATATTTACCGATCTCCGAACCATGTAAATACTCATAGACACAAATATGAGAAAAATACTAATTTCGACATTGAATAATCTCACAAGGGTTGACATGTTATAGAATGAACCAAACCAATACAATATAATAAAAATAAGGAAACCAAACTAACAAGCGTATCGTTTCGGTTCGAAATTACAATCCCCTGAAGAAGACCGAAACGTTGTGAATATGGCAACAAAGATGAGAACAACAGTAAGCACATTGTAAATAGTGTAAATTAGTTATTTTACTTATCATATTCTATGAATCTATAAAAAAAAAATGGTTCAAAATTTAAATTTTGCATTAAAAAAATATTTTCCCTGTTTTTTAGATCTTCTTGTGGGTGCGTATGAATCAGAAAAAGTGGTTTTCCTAAGGTAAGTCATTTTCTCTTATTTCTATTGAGTATGTCATTTTTTAAAATTTTATGGGCTGATGTTTATTGATCCTAAATCATTATACATTATCTTTTCCTTTGTCGATATTCTTTCTTTTTCGTCTAACCTCTTTTTTCAAGCATATAAATACGAGGTACTAAAGGGAAATAAAAAGAGGGGTGACAAAATACGTTTACCATTTTTATTAACTGTAGCAATACAAAACAAGAATAAACTCGGTACTTACTTTGAGGAATCGGAGAGCCGAGTTCGAATTCCAGTCGAATCCATTACATTCACTTACGTGCTAATACCCTTGGGAAATGTGTGAATCCTCTTCTTCTCTCTCCATCTATGGGTAAATAGCAGGACAGACTGGGTTCTATAGACTTGGATGGCAACTGGTCTAGGAGAAGGAAAAACTCTGAATTCAAAACCTGCGAAGGGTCGTTTGGGGACCTTGTGGCACGTAGTGCACCAGGTCTCTGTAATCGGCCTTTCAAAAAGTGTGGATGGTCCTGCACGAAACCTTCACCACTATAATCAAATCTCATGTGCTATACATGCGGGTTTGGGGACCGCTTGTGAATTCCAAATTCTCATGAAACTCCAATATTGGAGCCGGCTCAACCCACCCCGGGTGAATGCCGTTACAACAACAACAACGGTACTTACAATAGCTGAAATTTGCACACTAAAAGATTACTACCTTTAAGTGAGGTCGTCAGCTACCATCCAGGAATGCCATCTGCAAGCTAAAACCTGCGGCCCACAGGCGGCCTGTTTGGCTTTCTGAATCCCTCACCTAATTTCATGAAGAAAACAACGTTTATTAAAATTATGTTTGTTGCGTTTCGTTCTCACTTGTTCATTCACATTGTCTCTCACTTAAATAAGTTTGGGGAGGCTGGAGTTAAAGGGGATTAACCTCCTTTAATTATTAATGCCTGTTACGTTGTGGGTACAGTTTCATTAAACCGCATACATAAACAATGATTAAGTACAAGGTTTCTTGACTTTTTCAAACTTTTGTTGGAGGTAACATTTTCAGCGTTTTAAACCATTGGCGATTTTCACTAAGGATGACCATACGTGTAAACGGTCGTAATATTTTTTTCTCTGAAGAAATATATATTTTTCTTTTAAAAATATTTTTGTTTAGATTAAATGAAGAAATTAGAAACAAATCACATAGTAGCGTGTATTAACCATAGTCATAATAGTATACTAATATAATAGATGTTATTATATAATAGTGAATTATACAAATATAATATTTTTATGAGATATTATATTATACGAAGTCTTCAAAGTTTTTATTATATAATAATCTTTTCTCTAAAGGAAAACTAATCAACCTTTCCTCATTTCGAAGGCAGATGCATATACGGAGGTTTTTCTGTAGAGAAAATGGCTGAGACAGCTTAAACGAAAAATTACCTTGAATTCTTTTAGTTGTACGGTCCATCTTATATTGAACCATATCTCATGTGGCCCACTGATTGGAAAAGGTTGCCCATCCCTGATCTAGGAATATATTTGTCCTACATCATTGTGAGTCTGGGCGTTGGTTGAAACACATCTTGGTTCAATCTCTTTTCAGGACCGGACTAAAATCTCTCAAGGACACTAATTCATTTTGGTGGTCCATAACTATGACAAATGGTCCCTAACTATCTCGGTGGTGTTGGCCAAGGCCTCTAATTCACAATGTTATCTGCTCGCTAAGGGAGAAGCTTTACCTAAAACCCTACGTCTTTTTTTCTTTTCTTTCTCTATTTTGTTCTTTTTCCTTTTTTTTCTCTCACTTTCCTTTACGTTTTCCTTTTTCTGTCTTTTATCTTTTTCTTTCTTTATTATTTCTTATTCATTTTCTTTTTCTTTTTCTTTGCTCTTAAATTTTGTTCTTTCTTTGTTTATTTCTTTTTTATCTTTGTATAGTTTTTCCTCTTACTGGTGAGTGGAACTATATAGTTATCCACTCTTTATGACGAATGATTCTCAAATGGGCAGTGCTTGACTCTCAGGGGAGGAATTTTAACTAACAATACTCATAAGTATAATGGTAAAAAATTACTACGTTAAAATAATAAATGGGTTAGAATTAAGAAAACTTTAATCACAATGGGGTACAAAGTAACTTGGTCCTCTGAGAAAAACTGTATTACATATTAACAATACCACAATTCCAAACTTAACGTTAATCTTACCTTAGGCAAATCTTTCATTGATGCAAAATTTATATCGTCTCTTAATTATTCTTTTATCACTACTTCTGATGATTAAAAGTTGTTTTTCTTAAGCCAAATCTCCTCCTTCTCACGAATTGAACCTAGCTTTTCCCACCCAACATCCATGTTCACCATCTCGCAATTCAGTTAATTGACCTCAGTTTTTTTTATGCCTATTGGGTCAGTCATCTTTATATTCTTATTAACCTTAATTACTAATTATTTTTATTAAACTAATACTTATTGTTTTTTATATACTGACGAGACGTAATTCTTCTGACAGTTTGTTATTACAGTTAAAAGCAAGATTGTCTAATAAGAAATTATAGAGCATATTAGATAACGAAATGCTAACTCGTCTTCTGATTGGACAATTCCTCAATAGAAGGAAGTTCCTTATAAGCTATTTAAAGCTGTGTGGTCTTATTCTTTGATAATTGACACAAAGAGAGAAGCGGTAACAATTTCAACAGAAGCTAAAACATTTGCAATTCAACAAAAAGAATGCAAATTTGTTATAAAAAAAACTCAACATAAAAGCGCAGTAATAAAATAAAACAATCTCCTCACAGATAAAGAATAGACTTGAGAAAACCTAAGTTTTGTTCCACAGAAGCGATTGACATTGCATTTAAATTTTTACAGATTAAAATTGACCGGAATGCATGGAACCGGAAAGGAGTTCCACAAGCGGGAAGTGCGAGAAAAGAAAACATTAGTATAGAACCTATGATTACATCTAGCCATGTAAACTGTAAAACGATGAGATCTCAAATTCAAAAAGTCTAGGTACAATAGCGAAGAGCTTATCTAAACAATTACCACGAAAGTATTGATAGAAAAATCACAGAGTGGCGACCTTACGGAGATGAGAAACTGGCTGAAGCCGAGCCGCTAGATCAGGACCAATAATATTGCTGATTATTCTATGGATTTTATTAAGGATCTTTATGTAAATTGCAGGGGAACCGGACCATGTGACAGCAATATTCTAAGTATGGAGGAAAGGTACACTTATAAATATGTAAGATAGTTTTATGTGAAATAGCCTTAGGGTAAATTCGATCTCGCTTTGCCTATTCTGCATCGTTAAACGTTACGATATCAAGTACCTTTTTTTTATATTCATATATATATATTCAATAAATAATGTTAAATGGACTTATTTCATTGACCGACTCAAGTTTCTCGTCACGGTCAGATGTTTGATAAATCTATTAAACTTATAATCAGATTTTATATTTGTACCTCACGGAACAACGGTTAGACATAAATTTCAAATTTCAAAGTTGAAATTCTTACTACGTTAGAGTTTTTGTTTAAAACGTAACAAGATTGAAATTTAAAACCAGTTAAAATGCAATTTATTTATTTATTATTTTTATCTTTATTTTGTTAAATTTTATTAATGTTTCATAAAAAGGAAACATATCCCATTTGATATGGATAGCAGATATGTTTGGAAAGAAATTGTCAGAAGTATTCGTCTGAGGACGTTCAAATAGACAGGACATTACACAGACAGACAGATAGACGGACAGAGAGAATATGATATTTTAATATGTTTGATAAATTTATTAAAATTACAATCAGATTTCATATTTATACCCCTCGGAACAACGGATAATCATTTCAAACTTCAAATTCTTATAACGTTAGAGGTTTTTATTAAAAACGATGCAACATTGAAATTTCGAAAAAGTTCGAAATGTAATTGTTTTTTAAATTTTTTTTATTTATTTCGGTAAAATTCTAGTTATTTTTATTTATTTTTATAAGCGTATTTGAATTGTATTATTATTATTATTATTATTACTACTACTACTACTACTACTACTATTATTATTATTGTCATTAATACTACTACTATTATTATTATTATTATTTATTATTACTACTACTATTATTATTATTACTACTACTACTATTATTATTATTACTACTACTACTATTACTATTATTATTATTACTACTATTACTATTATTATTATTACTACTACTACTATTATTATTATTACTACTACTACTATTATTATTATTATTATTACTACTACTACTATTATTATTATTATTATTATTATTATTATTGTTGCTGTTGTTCTTTATATATGTATATATGTGCGTACGTTCGTGCGTGTGTTTGGAGGACACAAAAAGAGTGAGAGAAGCAATCATATGATTAATATTCCAAGACAATACCTGGTGTCGTTGTTAAGCCTCTCGATAGCATGGTTGCTATATCCATTGCTAAGGAGTCCTATTCTACCCTTTTCTTTTCTTTTTTTACAGTCTTTTCAGATGTGTTCTAAATTTTCTAAATGTATTTTTCTGTCTTCAGAACTCGGCCTGTGGTCAAAGTTAAAGCCCAGTTGATTTTGTCTCCAGTTATATTGAACCTTGATACAAAGAATTGTGTGCTACTCGATGGATCTAAAAGAACCTGGTCAGTTCCAGTTGAATTACCTTGCTTTTCGAAATCAGCAAAGAGAATAAGAATTGTATTAGTAAAGGCATAATTATTATAATAATAATAATACTTATTATTATTTTCTATCATTTCAACATATATAAATATTTATAAAATGTTTTCCATATATGTGTTTACACCTAAAATATTTCTGTTCGAAAAAAGATACATCGATTTAATATTAACAATAACAACAAAAAAATAGCCTACTTTGGGTAATGGCGCCTTCGTCCCTGTTAATGTATCCTTCCTGGGACTTCACACACTTATAGCAGCGTATAATATTGATATCACGATAAATTTTTTAAAGCACATAATTTTTACCCGGAAAATCGGAAAAATTGCCAATTTAAAAAGAAGATTCTATTTTAAAGGAAATTCCATTGTGTTAACTCTACTCACCATTGTTTGGCAAAATTTAATGCCATGTATCAGAGAATCCGACTGAACACTGATTAGACATTCGAAAATACAATGGAGTTGTAACGTATGTCGGGAGAAACGAAGAAACCTGTGAAAGAATAACGTATTTATACTGGGACAAAAAAAAGTAAGGAACGAGTCATATTTTAGACAATGAGGTGATTTTAATAAGATATATAGTTAAAGAAAAACTGTCACTCACAAATAAATTAATTGTTCATTGTTTTTTTTTTCTTTTCTTCTACTTTCCAGTATGGATGTTACTTCTTTGATTTCCTATAGTGGGACAAATGTACCCAAGAAAATGAGTAAGTATTTATTAAATCTTTTATCAAACAGACTTCATTTCACACATCATATCTACGATTCCTCGCTAAAGATGATGGAAAAATGGTTGGCTCCTTATTACCAGCCCAGAAGGAACTGACTCTATCTGTCACGCTCTATTTTACAAAGAGACAGATCAAATAAAAAAAAAATGGAGTATTATTGTCATATCAAGGGTACAACTGCCTAATTCTCACTTTCCAGTCCTGCAAGAGTTCAAAACCATCCTTGTGGGTGATGAATATCTTGCAATTTACAAACCGTTTTCCAGGGACGAAACATCGCCAGCCTCTTGCTACTCTACATATTCCATTCCTTAATTCTTCCCTGGTTCCAGAGTTCGCTTCTGACCGGGAAGTTGAAAATTATAGCTCAATCCCGAGGGGATCATTCCTCCAGGCAGTAACTCACCTTTGGAAGGGCGCTGAGCTCATTATACGGCACCTGAAGCCTACACAAAAAGGGCAAGTGCTGAGGGGGTTGGAGCAATTTTTCTACGGTATTACAGATAACCCCACATTAAACTTTGACCTTTTGTCACATACACCGGCCGCACGGATATATACCTACATTCTTTAGATCCACCAGTTCAGACGTATACATTTAGAATCTGCCATGAACACTGGGACGAATCATCCACATTACTTTCGTATTCTATTGCTAAGAAGGAAGTGTCATTCGTGCAATTCCCCCCCCCAAAGAGAACAGCTACTTTATGGAGCCGTTTTCCAAGTGAATGCTTTCTCGACTGTTAAAATCTTAACCTTTTCAAGTTTAGAGTCAATCGTTTTCTGTCCTTCATATCCTTATAATCTTATCCCCCCCTCTTACGTTCATAAAAAAAAAAGCACATTCACTAACGTTCTACCATGAATGCCTTTTTGGCTTTGTATTGTAATCAATCAAATAAATAAATGTCATGGGAAAAATATTTTTTGGTTACTCCGTCTTATTGCGGATAAGCAAGTCTAGGTTTACTGTAATATCTAAGGTCCTATACGGCAGTCAGTACTGGACACTCTCTTCGCAGTTGAAGAAGAGACTTGAATCGACAGTTACGCTCCTACCGATGAATATTGAAAAACCTATGGACGAGCAACGACGACAGTTTAAATAATATAGTAACTACAAGGAAACTTATACATTCAGAAATAAACATTTGAAATTAGTGAGGAAAGAATGCTTGGAGAGTTTAACACTCACAGAAAATACTGAAGGCAAAAAAAGCGGGAGAAACAATGAATAACCTAATTAACGAGTCGTGTGAATATAAGCCAGAACAGGAACAATCGTAAAATTAGCCGTTTCTCTATAAGGAAACAGTTTGTATTCTTTGACCGAACAGCCAATAGTGTTTTCGGTTGAAATTTATAACATATTTCTCTTAAAACGCTTTTTTTTAAAAGAAAAAACATAGGTTTCTCAAGTCAAGTAGATTTTATCTATTTTTCCGCTATTTATGGGAGTTTCCTTCCGAAGCTTCTATATGAAGTGGTGTGGAATGTCAACATCTTGATTGTTATTATTTTCTCTCCGACTTATATATGTTATCCATTTTAGTTGATGCTGCTGTTGGTAGTTCACAAATGATGTGATTTCTGTTATTTGTTACAATTCTTTGTGATTCTGTAGCGTCAGTCCACAATGTTCGAAGAAGGATGACCTTTGCCAAGACCCCCAGGCTTTACTCGCTCAAAGACTTTTTTCACCCTTGATCATAGGAAGCGATTGTATGCAGCTGCTTGCTTAGGTATTTCTGAACGGGTTTGGCGCCATACATGGCATCCGTATATGAAGATTGATAAAGGGTCCTACGTTAGAGTAATAAAAGACTGGAAGTTGTGGAGAGTCATGATCGCCTACACCCTGAAAGGGCGTGACACATAAAAGAACAAGTAGTAGTGAAAAAAAACGTACAAGTTATCAGAATTTATTATCCGAAATACGTAGGAAAGGATTGTGGCCATTGTTGGAAAAGAAAACAAGAAGTTGGCCATCAGCTCTTACTGTGGATTTCAAATTATGGGAAAAAATCAGGAAGTTGACCAGCAAGAAGTTCCATTGATCAACTCATAAATGAGACTGAAATTAAAAAAGAAGAATTTGATAGAACTATGGATGACGGATATGTTTGGAAAGAAACGGTCAGAATTGTTTGTCCGAGAACGATTATATAGACAGAACGATGAACGGACAAATGAAAAAGAGACTGACAAAAAGACAGATATTAATATTTAAATACGTACGCAGTCTTTGGAAATATCACTGAATTTATTTCTTACCTTACACCTCTGTCTTTTGCTTTTACCTGTGTCTTCTCATTTTCTACCTCATGCATTCCAAACTTCGTTGACCGTTTTTATGTAAATATTATAGATACATGCATTAGTTTCATATGAAAAACAGAATAAGGAATGCACAGATATTTTTCCACTGCATCTCCTTTTAAAAAAAAAAAGCTTTCTTTTACTTACTTGCTTTATCTTCCCTGAAATAATTTTTACACGTTTCCATCACTACCTGCCTACCATTCTTTTGCGCATTGTCTCTTGATATACAGCCAGCAGAAGCTGTGTCGGTCTAAAAAACATCGAGATATACGTTGGTTCTCCCTACATAGGGGTGGAACGAATGATCGAACCCTGCCGAAATTCACGTTTCCTTTATTAAAGACTCTCGAAAAACCAAGGCAGGGAAACGAAAATCGATAGTGTAAAAACAGAGACGTATTCTCAAACGCGTGTAGCCACTAAATATATCGTAACGAAAATACACACACACACACATATATATATTGTAATAAGAATATATATATATATTGTAATAAGAATATATATAATATATATATATTGTAATAAGAATATATATAATATATATATATATTGTAATAAGAATATATATAATATATATATATCTTGTAATAAGAATATATATATATATATAATATATATATATATATATTGTAATAAGAATATATATATATATATAATATATATATATATTGTAATAAGAATATATATATATAATATATATATTGTAATAAGAATGTATATATATATATTGTAATAAGAATATATATATTAGTGGTAAATATACACATACATATGCAAAATATATGAATATATATACATATGCATGTATGTATATACATATATATATAATTGTAAAAAAAAATTCCAAGAGGATAGAATCCAGGTAGAACTCAATGTCCAGGACAGAGTAAGGATATAATATAAAGGCTTAAACACTAATATTGGTTTTAAGCCTTTTTTTTATTATATATATATATATATATATATATATATATATATATATATATATATATATATATATATATATCATTTTTTCTTTTTTCGTTTCATCTGGTTTTGTTTTTTGCTAGGTTTGTTACCTTCTACCATTCTTCCATCTAACTCTCCTTCCCATTTGCCCGTTGCCTTGGTTTTTCCCCAATTCCTCTCTGCTGAATATTATGTAGCTTTTTAGATCTGAAAGTGTAAGTGATTCCAGCTAAGAAAGGCTTTGATCCCAGCTGATACTGCACTGATTCCAGATAGAAAAACAAAATGATCGTTCGTACAAATAAGCAAGATTATATTATGTAATTGTGAGGTTTTTAGACTCATTTTTTTTTTTCTGTCTCCAGTATTACTCATTTCCAATGTTTTCTCTTTTCAGAATTCGAAGTGACATGGACTCTAGATTCACTCACAAACAGAACCCAGAGAGCGTTCTACTTAGCGAACGAAAAGAGTTACAAGATAAAGGACACGGTTCATCTTTTTGAAGGAAAAGATGAAAAAATTGTCCATCGGGTTTATCTTAAGGTATAGAGTAGCAATTTTTTGTTTTCTAATTTTTTGCAGTGATGCTTTTTTTTTTTTTTGAATTGATGCAATTTAATGTTTCATTTATTTTCTCTGGTTTAGTCTTTATACCTTGCAATTTCTAAAGAAATAATGGATTTTTTTAATTTAAGATCACATTTTTCGACATCAAGCCCGCCGTTAACTGGAGCAAAAAAGATAGCTTGTTAATTTGAACGCTTCCCAAAATAAACTTATCTCCAGTAATCATCCGAGACATCTCTCTGCCGTCCATCAGCATGTCTGATGCTAACCTCCAAGATTAACTCGTTTCGCCTTCTCTGACATGAAGTGGAATGACTATATTTAATCCATTGCTAGGAAAGTTGGTTCACTGTGTCGTGGCAGATAATTTTTAGATATATGAACATAAAGAAGGCACGAGATATCGTAACGATCACCGATACGGAATAGGCAATGAGAGATCGAATTTACCCTGAGGCTGTTTCACATAGAACTAATATATCTGTAAGTCTACCATTCGTCCATACTTAGAATATTGCTGCCACATAGGGTCCGGCTATTAACATTGAGCTCCTTGATAAAATCCATTGAATAATCAGCAATATTATTGGTCCTGATCTGGCGGCTCGGTTTAAATCACTTTCCCACCACCGTGTCTTTTTTATAAATAATTTCATGGTAGTTCTTCGGATGAGCTCTTCGCTATGGTACCTAGACTTTTTGAATTTAAGCGCAATATTAGACTGGCATTGAGATCTCATCAATTTGCAGTTGATCCGGTTAGATGTAGCCATAAATTCTATACTAACAGTTTCTTTTCTCAAACTTCTTGCTTGTGGAACTTGCTACATGATTTCCAGCCAACTTTAATCTGCAAAAATTTAAATGCAATGTCAATCGCTATCTACTCTTCTTTTACTATTTTCTTATTTCGCTTATTATTAATTTTTCTGTTCCTAATTCTTCCACATCCTGTAACACCTTTTGTTTTAATGGTTCGAGTACGGCCAATTCTATTACTTATTGTTGATTTTCTTGTTGTTAATGACGTTCTTGTGAGTAACCTATATATTAAGTCACAGAATTAAAAAGCAAGCTTACTCGTTGCCGAGAAGTTATTAGTCTAACCAAGAAAGAATTGCTCCCCAAAATGCTGATGTTTGGTCATTTAGTCAGATTTTAAAAAAGTTAGTCGGCCTGTGAACTTTACAACACCCACTCATATATATCTAGGTATTCATTTATCTTGCGAGATAAAGGTAACGCCCTGTTCGTTCAAAATTCAGTCCTTTGATGGTGAAACTGGAGTGAGCTTCCCAGGGCGCCCGCAGGACTAGCCGATGGTGCCGTGCCCAGACTACATGCCCACCCTCACAACCGTACCGCCAAGATCCAAAGGAATACATCTGGAGCGGAACTTGGCTGTAAGAGTTGCCTGAAAGTGCCAGTGTGGATAGCCAAACGTCCTTGGGAAGCCACTCCGAGTTTTCTGTTTGGATTTACTTCCGTAATATGAGCGCAAGGTAGCGGAGGTTTAAAATCAGGGTTTCCCTTCCTCTAATGGGACTGCCTTCCCGGGCTATCGAGCTACCTGAAACATTTCGCCCATTCACCAATTTGGAGCTGGACTTATTTCTCAGAGGCTATTTGAAACGCATGCCACGGGCGCATTTTATAGACAGTGGTAGCTTCTAAAACACCCAATGTATATAATGTTTATATACGTACATTATATATGTCCCAAAGGCTGTCATATATATATATATATATATATATATATATATATATATATATATATATATATATATATAGGGTGTTTCATTAAGACGGATCAAAGCCAGCAGTAATTGAATTAGTGTTATTGGTGAAAATTTATTTATTTATCTATTGGATTATGTTATTTAAGTCATGGCAATTATGTGTAAAAAATAATATTGCCCAAATGTCCGCCAAGGCTTAGGCGGCACACCTCCACTCGATGGTCAAAATCTTTGATGACGTCTCTGCATAGTTGCTTCTCGATCTCACCAATATGACTTATTATCTCATCCTTCAGCTGTTGAATTGTTGTTGGCTTGTTGGTATTGACCTTACTTTTGAGATCACCCAAAAAGAGGAAATCTAAAGGCGTCAAGTCGCAAGATTATGGTGACCAATTGACTTTGCTGTTTCGAGAGATAATGCGACCTGGGAACTTTTCGTAATAGGCTTCGATAACTTTAACACATTGTTTGATTGTTGATCTTTTCATGGTTAAAATTGACAAAGACTTAAGGTACTTAAATATGAACGGAAAAGGAAAAAAATCATTAGACGCTTAAAATTAATTCACTTTTAAAATCGGTCCAAGTTATTGGGACACCTTTTATATATAACAAAATATATGTGAGAAGGCCGGAAAAATTTCCGAGCTAAAACATATAGACATATAAAAAAGCACTTAATACAGTGCCCAGAAAAAAAAACGAATATGCAGAGCAAACCAATAGAAAAAAGGTAAAACTCTATATCCTACCGCATTGCCTTGCTTTCGACCGTGATAAGATAAAGAATAAATAGGAAACATTTATCAATCTAACATGCTTCACTTTTATCAAAGCTACGACAGCCACCTAGACATGCACAACATAGTCACGAATATACTTTATCATCTGATGCCCGCAGAGACAAACTAGAATTTTTATACACTTACATACATATAGCAATACTTAGGTTGTTCAGGTAGGCTTTCGTTAATTTCTTGAAACTTCGGATGGATGCGTCATCTCTTGAATTCAGAACGCTACAAATTATAATAACGTTGGTTTAAGAGTCAAATACACGTGATGCATGAATGACCAATGAATATCAAACAGCATAAATTTAAAAATACCAGAATTTCTTTCTTCTTTTTCTCCATGTATCAGTCTCTGACGAAGCTTTAATAAAAATGAAACGTTGGATTGATAAACATTTCCTCTTTGTTCTTTATCTTATCATTTTTTCGGATTCTGATCAATATTTTATCTATATTTCGTCCCAAACCTTATATATATATATATATATATATATATATATATATATATATATATATATATATATATGTGTGTGTGTGTGTGTGTGTGTGTGTATGGACACACTGCATGCACACATGATGGCCAGATACACTGGTTGGACCGCATATATACATACACGTACGCGCGCGCAAACAGGTATCCATGGAGAACAAAAATATATATATACATACACTGGCAGAAACAGACTATTCAAGGGCACACACGTAAGCCCTACGCAAGACAGGAAGTGCGCGCGTGTGTGTGTATGTATATATATGTATATATGCATGTATATATATGTGTATACTGATTCATGTGCAAGCTAACGGAGATACGTACGCACACACGATACACAAAAATGGAAATAGATTTAACAGTCTCAAGGCTAATGTAGGAATGCGAAAACATCTATCATCAACACATCTATCATCACCACCACTCAGACCAAACCTAATGATTTTATTACCACTTAGGCAGAAATTCACTTTTGCCAACATTCCAAAAATGAGATCAAGGCTCGCTACAATACAGAAAATGAAGACTGAAACATTAAAAGAACATAAGGAAACTTTATTCCTTTAAAAATTGATTCCTTTAATTTGCCGGAAGAAGGTAAAGAGACTGGAAACCTGTGTAGCAAAAAATGCAGAAAAAAATATAATATATAAACTAAAACAAATCCACATTATAACCAAAAACGTTTGCAGTTTCTCTCTTAAGATTCCTCCCATGAAAAGATACACAGAGTTTCTTCCCAGAATGTTGGTGCGTATGCCTTTCAGTGGTTGGCTTGATTAGTTACACACGTCGGCACAACCACGAAACCTATCATTATTATGTCCAGACTGATTTCACTTGCAATCTATGCAAAATTATACACTGAAATGTTCAGATAAATTCCTGCAAATATTCTGGTGCTAGGCTACAACATAGTTTTTTTTACTAAGCTTTATATAACTCTTTGTGTTTGTGTGTATGTGCGTGTACATATGTGTATGTGTGTTTCCATGTGTGATAATGATATTTCATATTTATACAGAGACGAAAAGTCAATTTGAAATAATTTTTTTTTTCCCCACAGAATAATCTTCGAGACAAGCTCACACCGATTGGTGTTGGAATGAATTTTAAATTGTCTCAAGGTTCTCACAGCCGAAGAAAAAGACATCTAAAGCCGATTCTGGACAAATATATTGAAACTACAGTTCGTACTGAGGTAAGACGAAGCTTTAAGATAAGTAACCAAAGATTAACTTGAATTGCATTATTATTTAATTGCTTTTTATGATTCATTTTTGACAAGTACTTTTTTCTTCTTAATTTCAATTGCTTTTAATTGTAACGTCAATATCCCCATTCTACGATTATTAATAAGCAACATGGATCGAAAATTGTTATAGTCGAACACACCTATTCTATTGTTAATAGACTTTCCCACCTATAATAAGTAGGAGTAGTAAGAGTAACGAGGAAGTTGCTAAGTCGCTCAGTGTGTTGGTCAGTCAGTCGATGTTGGACGACCGTTAGTCGGATAATAAAAGTATCAGCGACCACCACTAGATTTTTCTGCGTCATTACCTATTATATCAAGTTCCTAACGTTTTGTACGTCGAACCTATTTTAGGACCGACTTAGTGAAATACAAGCCTCCACTGTGAAACTACTCGACAACAAAAATAAACAGTAAAATGTAATATTATTCGAATTTCTGTGATTGTAAGTACGATTAACTTTTTTCTTAATTTCAGTTGCTTTTTATTGCAACAACCAGATTGAGAGTTTAATGAGCAAGGTTTAATAAAAAATCAAAACCAAAAAAGGAACCCTATAAATTATTTCATGCAATGAAAACCTTAAAATAAGAAACATAGGAATCATATTTAGCCAAGAAAAAATTTAATTCGGAAGGCTTTTTTGGTTCGTTTTATTGTATGTAAAAATCGTTTTAATGGACAAAGGAGAGTGAAGTTGCGTTTTCACTGCTTTTCTCTTTTTTGTATAGGCTCAAATTTTGAAAGACTGCGGACTTGACAATATTTGTATTCCAGACCTTGTACTACAAGTACCCGAGTAAGTAAATTCCTTTTTCTGTACCAAAATGTTCATCACTAATATTGTTGGGTTCTTTATATATATATATATATATATATATATATATATACACACAAAATACCGAACAATGTTTGCGTGACCAACACACAAACATACACACACACATATATATATATATACATACATATATATATACAAAGAACCCAACAATGTTGGCGTCACCCACACACACAGACACACACACGCATACACGCGCAAACACATACACACATATATATATATATATATATATATATATATATATATATATATATATATGCATATATATGCATATGTATATCCACATATATATACACGTATATATTCATATATATATATATATATATATATATATATATATATATATATATATATATATATATATATATAAATATAAATATATATATATATATATATATATATATATATATATATATATATATATATATAAAGAAACTAATATTGGTGCGACCAAAAGATTTAAAACCTTAGACAAAAAAAAAAGAAATCCCAGAACAAGAACAAAAGGTAAACAAGAACGCAGTAAATTAAAGTGCTCAACGTCTAGACTATCTAGACGGAGCAAAAAAATGCTTCACAACGTCAACGTTTAACGAAGGTCAGCTCGAGTCGCTTCTCAAGTTTCATGCTCTCGCGATCTTTAGGTGATTAGAATATATATATATATATATATATATATATATATATATATATATATATATATATATATATAATTAGACAAAGAAATAAGTATATATAATCTGCTATATATATTATAAATAATAAATTATATGTGGCACAAAATGTTATTAGGGCTTTAAAATCGAGCATTCGAGCATTTTAAAAATATTTATAAATGTGTAAAAATATATATATACGAACAAAGACGAGAAAGTGCAAGGATACCGAAAAGAAATTTCCTTCTGCTTACAATGGGATGACTGCTTAGACTTAATATAAATGGACTCAAGAACTCTTAGATACTATTCAGAATGAATCCAGCTCATTACTTTTACTCTGTTAAAAGACGAGGAACATAGATGGATTATGTATTAAGCGTTCTGTAATCTCAGGGCTGGAAATATTAAGAAGTGTATGCAAATTTTCATAGTACTTTGCCTGATGTCCTTTGCTTTTAATTACTGTTTGGATGCAGATGGGACATGCTGAGAATCAAGTTGTTACAGTAGCCAACAGATATTTTTTGCTCCAGACGTTTTTATTCGCCTCCCTCAGTGCTACGGTAGTTGAAGGTTGTTTTTCTGCCACTTTGTTTTTGACAAATTTTCAATTGGGTTCAGATGTGGCTCAGTCCAGTTTTGCTACGTTGATCCTGTTCCAAAAATTCTGAACGACCTTTGAGCGGTTGATATGAAGCACCATCCTGAATACATATTGTGCACTGATGAATGTGCATATGCAGTTTCAATTTCTCCTGTAGTAGTTCCACATAACTGGCACCATTCATCGTTGTTCCTGGGGGGTAAGAAGTTGAGTCCAGCTGTTGTAGATTTATATATGACGCCCTAAATAATTTGGCTTGGTGGGAGCTTCATAGTCTGATTTGTATACTTTGCCTCAAATCTCAACAACAGGGTGTCTTCTAAAGTTACTTTTACGCATAGCGAACTGTTGCAGAGTTGATTCATCAGAAAACCTACCTTTGCGTCAGTCTTCAGCTGTGCAGATTCCATGTTGATTAGCAAATTCCAGACGCTTTGATTTTATAGCTACAGTGATCCGTGTTTTTACGAATCGGTATGACTGATTTAAGACCAAACTCAAATCGGTATGACTGATTTAAGACCAAACTCAAATCACAGAAGATGTGAAACTGTCATAGTACTGCCATTTGTACAATTTGGAAGTAAATCAGCACGTCTTATAAGAACTTGGAGATCGTGTAACAATGCGCTTAATCAAATAGTCATCTCTAGCACTGGTTTTACTTGTAAGATCACTTCTCTTTTTGTCGCTAAATGTCCCTGATTTTTTTAAGTTTACGATAACTGTGTGCATAGCTGTTTTGCTGCAAGTTACTTTTCCATTAATTTGGGCACCTCGGCGTGGTGTAATGGTTAGCAAGCTTGTCTCGCTAGAACATATTACAACTGAGTAGCGAGTTCCATCCTCGCTGGGTGCTCGATACCTCCCGCCTTGTGCCACATTTAAGCAGCGCTTAGAAAATCACTACTTTTCCTTTAATTTCACATTCAGAATAGGCTACATCGAGTACAACAACAAATTCGGCTCTTCTTCGAGGTAAAAGTGAGAATTTTTTTCACATTCTAAACCTAACTCACAACACAAATATTATAACAATGGCTGCTAATTTGTGGTCAATAAATTTTTACCATCGGCAAATTAGCAGACATTGTGATAGTATTTATTATTCACCCAAAAATTTATGGTCAAAACATCATGTGTAAATGATGGCTGATACAATAACAAATGCCTATCATGCAATCTTATATGATAAAAGTTTATGCGGAAAAAAACAAAAAAAACTAAAATAACCTTGCATTTTAAATTTTGGTAATAAATGTAAAACACACACACACACACACACACCTACCCATCTTTCTCTCTCTCTCTTTCTATATATATATATATATATATATATATATATATATATATATATATATATTTTTCTTTATATGTAACTTCTTTATAGATATAAATTATTTAAGTAAATGCTGTGTTTATTAATTAAACAGTATTAATTAATTTACAGACCAGAATGTTCGAGAAATTTCGTAGGAGATATGCGCTCACTGGCAGGAATCGAACATGTAACCCTTATGGGAACAGTCATATAGCCCTGACGTGCTGTTACCTAAAATAAATTATAGCTATAAAATTAACGGACAAACAGAAAATATATTAAATAATTGTCGGACTTAATCCATTTCAGAATATATTCATATATATATATATATATATATATATATATATATATATATATAATCTTATAAATATAAGTAAGTATACTCATCCGGAAAAACCTTAGGTGTTTTGGCTTGTAAATGAACAAACCAATACCCAAGGAAAAATAAGGAATAAAAAAAGAAAGAACTAAGAACATGTAATTCAGGCGAAAACAATTATCCAGAGGCCAAAGAAAAAAAACTCCAACACGAGTAAAGTAAAAATAACTAAGCAAAGTGCTCAATACACTAAGTAGAGCAAATCTAACTACGAACCTAAAGAGTTAAGCAAACCTACCTACTGTAGAATAACAATAATAAACAGCACTTACCGGTGTAAAGGTCCCAGCTAGCGTCCAGCTGGCAGACAAAAATAAAGCACGTTGTAACTTAATACAAACCCTGCAAACTAACAGATGAATCAAGCTGGTATTTATATAGAAATACCTCCACTCAGGTACCAGCAGCCAATCACAGCCCAAGCAATGGACTATCCCACTTTAGCACAATGAGATGCTCTATGGCAACATAAATAGCTCTCTTTTTAAAGGTTGGATTAGTGTTCACTTAGCTTGCTCCACAACTAAGTGTTTATCTCTACCACGGTACTTTTCTACAGTTTTACCTACGCGGATCGTCAGGGTACGCCGGCTCTTTAGGTTCGTAGTTATATATATATATATATATATATATATATATATATATATATATATATATATAGATGACAAATGGAAAACCGTTTCATTGAAATTGGATTTGACTACGCGTTTCGGCCTTTTTGGATTCGTTAGATTCAAAAACTAAATAAAGAAATGTGTCGAAATTTCTCTATCCTATCTTATACACGCACACATACACACGCACTCACACACACACACACACATATAGGATTAATACAAGTATACATTTTTTCATTGAGTGTTATGTTTAGCACCCTTTATCTTTGTATGTGTTTGTGTTTGTGTGTGTATGTACATATTCGGCTGAGTGTCAAAGATAATGTAACAATATCGTTTCTGGTGTCACAAACAGGACTTTTTGGATATATCGTAATCCGTTTTCTCGAATATTCTTGGGGTTATATTTAAGTTACGTTGTATTCCGTTTTTTATTTATTTCTTTTTAAAATAATTATTATTATTTAAATAAATGCTTAAATGGCAAAGTAAATATGCGCTTGGGTGTATTATTCATTATTACATACGGACTATAATAAATTCGCTTTAATTTCAATAAAAATATGTAAATATTAATGTCTTTGTTAAATGTAATTAAATTTTCTATGCTCCTAATCTCAAAACTAATATTTACTATTTTTAGTTGTTCTTCGTCAATAAAATTGTAGTAACATGCAGACTATGGTATTGACAAATGATATAAACTGTCATTTTTAATTTAAACGCTTTAATAATTAACGAAATTAATTTCCAGTGTCATGGGCCCTTAGCTATAACTACAGAATGAACTCTTCCTAACACTATGTATACTACGCCTCTCAAGAGAGAGGGTCGAATCGAGCCGAGCCGATAGTAGTTCACTCCAAACCAGACTGACAGTCATACTAACACCTTCCACATCTTGTATTATTATTTCGTGTAATATACCTTCGTTATTTCTACTCTTGTGTTCGTGTTATTCTTCCTTGGTCTTAACCTGGACCATAACACAAAGCATGACTTTTCTACACAATGTTTTTAATTTTATTTTTTGAGCGTATTCCTGTTTGTTTGTTTTTATTTTATTAAAATTCAGATTGTTCCAATTGTTCTTCGTCATTTAATTAATTTCCCACGTTTAATGTTTCAGGCATTCTTCACAGCATATTGTTGGCGAACGAAGAAACCTGCAAATGCTGATCAAAGTAGAGAATAAGAAAGAAGACGCCTATGAAGCGCAGTTGGTTGTCAAGTTGCCGAAAGGTGTGAGCTACGTGAAAGTGCAAGACGTAAAAGCGGTAAATCTTCTTCTTTTCCCTCTGCAAAACATCTTTTCATATTTATTTTGGTGCCAACTTAGTTACTCTGTTTAGATAACCACAAGTGGGGAATGAACTAATCAAAAAAATGACCGATTAAAAAAAAAAACAATTTACGTAGAGAGATTCCTGGAGAATTCCCGCAGTCTGACAGACAGTTGCGCTCAACATGGAGACGTGATTCTGACATCTACAAAGACATAGCTGCACGGTTATTGACTTTTCGTAAGATTAGATTTGCACATTGCAAAATAAGAGGAAATGGGAATAAGTAGATGGGCCAGTATTTCAAGGAGAAGCGACATGCTTGCTTTATTTATTAATGTCAGTTAAGTCCAGGGCGAAAATAGGACATATAGAAGTAGAAAGATTTTGGGGAGGAGAGATTACATTTTCTCTTTTAATTTACCAATCTCAACATATTACAACAGAAGATAAAACTGAAGGAAACTGTGTTAGAAAGATTGTGTTGTGTCAGTCTCCCAAGTGGTGGTGGCGGGATGCGCTACATCCTTTATTTACTAGTCTCAACCTAGTAGAACGCAAGATGAAACTGGAAGACATTTTGGTAGAAAGATTGTGTTGCATCAGATTTTCAAGTGGGGAGGATCTATATTTCTTATCTATTCGTTTTCGAGTATTGGGCTGCTCACCGACATTTCCTCCTGTGTGAAATGAGTCCAATGTTGGATCTGAACAGACGTCTGCAGCCACCTACATAGTAGGATAGGGGTGTTTAGGGGATGGAAAGCTCTCGCTTTCTTTTTTCGAACTATCTTCATCTCTTTGATTTGTCTCTGATGTTTTCGAAGGATGTTGTACTTTTTGTGGACTGCTCTTCTCCAATTAGTTCTTTCTGCAGCTTCCGTCTCTCAATTGACCAGATCGATTCCTGTCCTCAGCAAGGTGTTTTTGAGCTGACAACGACGTGGGAATTCACGTAGTCTCTTGCCAGATGCGAAGATTTCTTTGGGCAGGCGGATCTCTGGCATTCGGGCAAGGTGTCTCCTACCAATATCCAATTATAAATTAATATATCGTAGGATCGTCATTTTTATTCGATAATGTTAATGTATTTTGACATAATTCGATTTCTGTTTGACTTTTGTATTGAGTTTTGTTTTTCTTTCTATTCTACCTTTAAGAAAACCCTAATTGGTTGCAATGCCGTACGCACAGAAAACGACAGTTTGGTGATTTGTGAACTTGGAAATCCTTTACAGAAGCGACAAAAGGTAAGCTTTTTGATTTGCATAATGAATGTTGTCAATGTCCTAAATATTAAACACAATAGAGAAAAAAAATAGAAAACGACAAATGAATTTCTCTCATTCTAGCTAAATTAAAATTGAATCAGGGGAGATGAACTGATTTCTTTTAGTCGGCTGAACCAAGTGATAACTTACCGAAAGCGAAGAATATTAAACTTTACAAGGCGAAAATAAATGTTAAGCAATTACTACAAAAATACGTGTATAATACGCGCCTCCTAAAAGGCTACAAAATACTGGAAAAATTTCAGTAATAAAAAAAATCTCTTGTATAGTACGCATTTATATTTTAGGACTTGCAGCAGCGAAATTTAATATTTCTTCCGCGTAAATATATATTGCATTATGTTTTGGAGCACAAAATTGACATGGACAGGTTTACGAAAAACCGTAAGAAGCTATTAACGAACTCGGTTATTTTGTGTGTAATGAATGAGTTATTGCCCCTGATATACAATAAATCTATCAATGCATTTTATTTATTTTCTCGCAACGATGTTGTTAATACACTCTTCTTTATTAATTTTATTTAATTAACATTTTTTACTCCATTCATATTGATATATATAGATATATACTTGAAACGTAGTATATCCTTCTAAATTTCGTTTTGATTTTACGGGCATTAATTAACCCAATCTTAATTATTAAAATTTTAAGTTTCGTCACTAATTCACACAGACAGTGTGCGTTGATGAAAAAGATATGATTATAATCGCCATTTTGTTGTCGTTATTTTATAGTTGTTCCATGGACGGGCATTGAACCTTTTATATTTTAACAGTGGTCGAAATTTTAAGTCAACCTCGGACACATTGAATAGAATTTGCAAAATATGCATGCATTACGTATAAATAAATTTCTTATTTTAGAATGATGTGTCTTTTTACATTACATGTCTTTCTCATTATTCTAACTCATTTAATACTAAAATAATGATCTCTTTTAATTGTCTATTTCGTGTCAGATTAGTAATACCAGGGAGATTCGATCAGCGTGTATCATAATTTTAAAATCGGGTATATAATGGCAAAGCACAGTTACGTTTTATAGTAAAGCATGGTAAAATGTTTGTATAGAAATTACTAAGTAATATGAAAGTTGTACATGTTTTCGTTTAAATTCTCAAATAATTTAATTTCTCGCTTCTCGCTTTTGTGAAACTCACTTCCGGCTTCTTGCATCCCAGTCAACATTGATTTTTAAAAATTTAAATTCAATGTCAATCGTTATCTTCTGTCTTCTTAATTATTATCCTGTTATTGTCCTCTCTCTTTAATAGTAGTTATTCTCAATTCTCTAACTCAGTAAGCCCTTGCGTCTTAGTGGCTTTATTGGCTTACCTGGGGGTGAATTGATTAAAAATATACTTTTGCTTCTATCTATCTATCTATCTATCTATCTATCTATCTATCTATCTATCTATCTATCTATCTATGTCAGCCTGTTCGTATGCGTGTGAGAGATTCACATTAACTGAGTCAAAATCGACTTGTCTATCCTTTTTAACAGGTATCTTTGTTAATGAAGTTCTCGCCAAAATACGTCGACGGATCAGAAGAAGTGTTAAAATTCCACATACATCTTAATACGTAAGTCTTTTGTTTTGATCAATACAGAAAATTTACATTTTTGGATAAATTTTTCACTTGTTGAAAGTTAAAAAAAATAACAAGTGTCACTCATTAGAAATGATACTGTAAAATTTACTCCATTAATAATTTTATTATACTTTCGTAGGAAAACTTCTAATAACAATTTTCATTTGTTGCGATATTCAAAAGGGGGATAACTCCTAATAAAAATGAAGGAGTTATTGCCCCTGATAAACAATAATGCATTATTTGTTTTCTCGCAACGATTTTTGGTTGATACACTCTTCTTTATTAATTTTATTTCATATTTTTACTACAGTCAGATTGATAAATATGGATATATTCATTACTTGAAATATAGTACATTCTTCTAATTTTCGTGCTGATTTTATGGGCAATAATTGACTCAATCTTAAATATTAAAATTTTAACTTTCGTCAATAATTCACATAGGTTGAATATCCTTTATTCGAAATTCCAAAATCCGAATTTTTTTAGATGCTAGCATGACTTACCAGAAATGGAAAATATTAGAAAGCATTGAGAAAGTTCCTAGGTAATGTGCAGCTGTTTTAAGTGACCTCATCTACCTTGGAACTGCATAGCCTGTGTTGGCACCAGTTTTTTGTTAGCGATTTTCACAGCAACACCTTCGTTCGTATATTACTTAACAGCGGTTTCGGTTTCGTATTCAGTAAAGTTATTATTTAAAATTTCAGAAAGTCCTGCATTTATATATTTTTTGTAAGTAGTGATCCTGTTTTTTTTTGTTTATTTTTTGTACATGTACAGAAAGTACAAAACATTTTTACGTGAATTTTTTTTTTCAAATCTGTGTGAGCGTCATTACAAAATTGATTAAATTGTATATAAAACTACTTTCAAGGTATAAGTTATTTATATAAAACTGCCTTCAAGGTATATGTACAAGCTGTGTTAATGAAATGTAAAGGGATATTGTGTTTATACTTGAATTCCATTCGCAAGCTGTCACATTTTATAGATGCTATATACAAATTAAATAGCCTGTATTCCAAAATCCGAAAAAATCTGAAAACCGAAGCACTTCCAGTCCCAAGAATTTCGAATAAAGGATTCTTAACCTGTAATAGAAAACAAAAAGCATACAAAATCAACAGAACAACCCCCCCAAAAAAAAACTCTATAAATCTCAAAAAAGTAGGCATATTATTTTACCTACTATAATATTGTAACAACTCTCAGTAGAAGCTTATTTGACTTATTCAACTTTAGTGCTGAAAAAGTTTATTTTATTGTGATAGGTTGTTACAAGCGAGAGGGAAGATGGGATTTGCTCATTTTATTAATACGCCTACAAATTCGCAAATTCATAAACTTGAGAGAAACTTAGTTAATCTCAATATAAAAATTATAGCAAACATTTCTAGAATAAAGAAAAATTTAATCATTAAAAAAACAAACAATTAATATTACATTATTAGCAGCAGGAGTCTACAGAATTGGAAGTAAGAAATAATCGCAGAAATAAATCGATAAAACATCCAGAAATATAAAGAAAAATATGCAAACATAGAAGGTATTTGGAATTAAACAACACATTTAATGTATTGGCATGCTATCGAAGCTTTCATAATCACAAATTTAACCTGGAAAATGACGTTATATTAAAATATGAACATAATTTTCCAGACGAAAACGCATTGAAAGTACCAATATCTACAAATCTTTCGTTAACGAAGGGCCAGGCTACTTCTCTTTATCACCTGCCCTCATTAGACTGGTGTTGAAAAATGTGGAATACGAAAAATCTTAAAAGAAATAAATATATAAATAAAAAACTGAGTTTGTATTAGTAAAATCCAATCTAAAAAACGGTACAATTAAAGCAAAAACAAAAGGATGCATAGTTTCAGTGTTTCATTAAAACTTCATTTCTTTCGTATTCCACAAGTGAGATGTAATTTTAACTCGTGTAGTTCAAGTCTCATGCTGCTCTATGGCTATTTATACAGTTCAAACGAACTACATTCCTTAGTTCCACCAGTTCTTAGCTTCACAGTTAAGACCCGCCATACCACGCATACTGTAGCGAACTATACTCATTCCCTTTGTATTCTATCGGTGAGATGTAACTGCCATTCGAGCAGCTTCTTCCCACGAACCGCTGCTCGATGGAACCGACTTCCAGAGGATTTTTCCCGATCACAATAATCTTAACCTGTTCAAATCTAGAGTTAACCGTTTATCTTTCCCGAATATACTCTTATTCTTTAATCCTCTATGTGACTCCCGGGCTTTGTACAGGGTGAAAATCACTGTAAAAAAATTCTATTCTTCTTTTTAACATTCATTTTTAAATTTTTAAACCGTTTTTGGATAACTAAAAGTGCTATAACTCATTCAACACGTTCTCTTATTATTTGACAAAAGAGTCTTCGTTTCTCTTTTTAGTTCCAATTCTGAGGCGTTCAATGATACAGGCAACAATAGTGGTGACATAAGTATTCCCGTCAAAGCAGCTGCCGATGTCATTATTCTGGGGTGAGTATAATTTAATATTCATAAGTGTAGAGGACCGTGTCGGTGACGAGTATGTAAAACACACGTGGGTTAAAATTTCCTGCTAGCCGGTCCAACTACATGAGAAAGTTTAATTAAGTCCAAAGAAGACAAACAAAAACAAACACAAGACCGATAAATATATGTAAACAAATATATGTATTAATAACAAGAAAGGTTACAAGTTACATGGACAGTTACATGGACAGAGTGCGTGTGGTGAATATTATGTTTGTGTGTTGTGGTGAGAGTTCGTACGTGTAATGTTCTTAGCGTGTTCCCAGCATTTGGGAAACGCTGTATCTGTGAGCGTTCACATCTGCGAGGTGGTAAGGCTGAAAACCTGAGGCAAAAAGAGGAAGAGGCGAAGGGTCAGCGAGTATTTATAGCCAGGGGAGAGAGACTCCTGTTGAAAGGTAAGGAGCTAAGGAGGAGCTAACTCCGACATAAGTCTGTTGTGAGGTGGCACTGATGATACGTTGGTCTTGTCTGAAGGTACTACTTTATACACACACACACACACACACACACACACACACACACACACACACACACACACACACACACACATATATATATATATATATATATGATGGACTCTCTCCAGCTCTCCAGTCGTTTTCGACGTACGAGTATCTTTCAGTTCAGTTTTTAATCCTGTACCTGTTCCCGTCGCCTTAACTCTCTCGCCTGTGGACTTGTTGCTCAAGTGGGATAGCAAATAAGGAACACCGAACTGAACTACAGACTATCCACACAAAAAAATTATTTAGAGTGGTGAAGGCTTCTGTAGAACGAGCTACACTTAATGAAAGTGCTGATAACAAGGAGTTGGTGCAAATATTTGCCATGAACACAATGAACAACACCCGCCAGGTTTTATTATCACGGAGTAATAACTATCCAATACTGGCAGTGCTCAGAAGAATGCAGCGCCTTTTCATGTTATTTCACGTGATTTAGCCCGGCGCCTACTGAATCGGTTTACAGTATTTGGCGCGTGGTGATTTAGGGGATGGGTGAAGACTAGTGTTGCCTGTCCATCTTAATAACAAGGGCAGCAGCCGAGTAACAAAGGTACTACTTCTACCTCCCTTGAATTTTGTCAGATGAACATGGTTATTATTACTACTGGTTAAATAGTAGAGACGAGACTCTCGCTTTGAGTGGCAGAGAGTCTCGAAGAAGAAAAACGATGAATTCAAAACAGTGGAGATGGCAACGAGAAACCACTCCACTATCTTTCCAAAAAAGAGCATGGCAATTCACATAAATAAAATGATAAAAAAAAGAATAGAAACCTGTAGAGAGACATGACTGCCTACGTTCTGATGTGACATGGCATTTTAAAAAATGATTTATTTTTTCCTATTCTTGTTGCTTTTTATCACAAATTTTTTGGATCGATACATTCTCCATTATTACTATTATATTGCTAGTTTTACTCAGTATCTGTCTATAGTTCTGAGATGAGGTATTATGTACACTATTTACAGTATTCGGACTATTGTCCTCATCTTTGTTGCCATATTTATTACAACGTTTCGGCCATTATACACTCCGGCCTTCTTCAGGTATTTGGAATGTCGAACCCTTAAGGACACATGGCACAGTGGATAAAGGCGTTGGTTAGATCCAGTGACAGGACCAAAGAGTTGTGTGTTCAATACCTGGGTAAGGCAGTGGAGAAGTTGGAGAGGCGAATTAAGAGGGGATAACTGATAACTGACATCTATTAGATATAGCACATTGAACTAGAACAGTCTACCCCAGTGAGCGAAATAAAGGGTTCAGTTCGACATTTTAACCACCTGAAGAAGGCCGGAGCGTACAACGGTCGAAACATTGTGATAAATATGGCAACAAAAATGAGGACAATAGTCCGAATAATATAAATAGTATAGTTTACTCTGTCTTGTTTCTTTTTATCCCAATACTCTCAAGCAGTATTATACTCTTCACTATTAGTGTTATTTTATTACTAGTTTTATCATATCTTATTATTGTTGCTTTGGATCGATGCAATTATTATTATTATTATTATTATTATTATTATTATTATTATTATTATTTCCTTGGGTTTCTGTTGTATACATATTTTCCTCCGGGTCCCAACCAGAGATTTAAGGTCAGAAACCAATTCATGACATTTTCCACTGATCATTTTTTGTAAAAACATTAAAAACAAAACAAATGAATAAAAACAAAGAACAATATAAGATCACTTATATTTTACATAGGAAAAGCTTTTCGTAATGTGTGAGCTTATCTACCAAGAATTCCTTCAATGATTCTAAGGACTCTAGCTACAACTGAAATTATTGATGCCCGCATGTGTTATATTTTTTAAATTTCCATGTTAAAATCCTTGTATTTTGACAGTTTTTTGAAAATCTTCAACGATACATTACAATCTGCAGGGACTTTCATATCAATAAGAAACCACACGCTGTTCTTGTGGGTCTCACGATATCTGAGTGATTAACTTTGATTGTTCTGTCTGTGTGTATTGTAAAGTCTTATTATTGTTATTGTTGCTTTTGTTTTCAGTGTGGCTTAAACTTACTACTTAGTAGTTATAGTCGACTAGCCTCGACAACCATTAACCCACGCTGAGGCGCCTTACTAGATTTACTCCGTCTTATTATTGTTGTTTTTTTTATCATAACACTTTGCGTTGATATACTCTTCGATCGCTCCAGCAAACTGCGCAATATCGAGAAACATAATTGCATACAACTTTAAAAGATTTCTAGTTATTAAATCAAAGATGGTGTGGCACATTAATTTAACTTTAGATTAGGAAACAAAACTTACACAGAAAAGGATAACCAAAAGACATTGTTACACATAAAATATGTATTTAACAAGAGAGCACCTTTCTGCGGCTGCTCGGTCTCACGTTGACTGCTGACCTGAGATGGAACAAATACATTGAGTCAATTGCTTCATCCACCGCAAGGAAAGTTGGCTCCCTGTGCCGCGCCAGGAAATTTTTCTCCCCGTAATCGATCCTTCATATCTACAAATCAACAATTCGCCCTTGCATGGAGTATTGCTGGCATATATGGTCTGGAGCCCCTTCTGTTTGCCTCGGGGTTCTTGATAGGCTCCAGAGGCGGATATGCAATATAATTGGCCCTGCTCTGGCATCTCGTCTACAGTCACTTTCTCACAGACGCGCCGTCGCCTCTCTCTGTCTGTTTTACAAATTCTTTCATGGCAATTGCTCCGAGGACCTGCATTCACTAGTTCCCAGACTTCATGAGTTCAAGCGCCCTACGAGGCTGGCATCCCGCTCTCACCCTTTCACTGTAGAAACTACTAAATGTAGCCATCTCTTCTACTCCAATAGCTTCATGTCTCGCACCTCTCGCCTGTGGAACTCCCTTCCCTATTCCAGTTTCCCTGAGTGCTATAATCTCCAACTATTCAAATGTAATGTAAATCGACATTTCCAGTTGCCTTGATCTATCCACTACCCTTCTCCTCATCCTTTCTTCTATCACTCCTATCTGATCTTACTCCAAATTTTCTGTAACCCCTTGTGACCTAGTGGCTTCTCGCCTTGCTTGGGGCGAAACGCTTAAAAAAAATCAAACAACGATGTGACGGAAAGCATGCATTTAAGTAAGAAATGGTTGAATTAACCAAGAGTTGTCTCTCTTTAACTGTTATTTTAGTGTTCCAAAGTTCACTGGAAGAATGTTCATGAGAGTCTCTTGTAATGATTGTTCTTGAAAGATATTGAAGAATAAGAAATAGTAAGTAAGAAGAGTTTATGTGAGTGCGTATAAGGTATGTTCAGCATGTGAGTGGTGTGTGTGAGTGAGAAAGTTGGCGCATGGTTTCAACTGTCATGGATTCGTTTGGCAGTTGGAATCTCACTAGATGGGATTAGAAAAATCTCGGCTTAAATAAGCGACTATAGGCTCCAAATCGTTGTGCTGGAAGAATTACTATTCACGTGCAAACGATCTGATTGGTTGGCATCGACCAATCAGCGAGCGAGCTTTGGGGAGACTTAAGAAAGCTTCTGTGATCCGTTTCTCCCAAAAGTGCGCAAAATTGACTACTTTAAAATAGAGTGATTACAAAATTGTCGCATTACTGCGATTTGTAAATTGCCTGTAGTGATGTCGTGGTGATTTATTAACCAATGAATGCTTGGCATTGTATGTGATTTGTATTTGTGTATGTATGTATGTTCGTGCGTAATAGAGACGCACAATGGCATTGAGTTGCTGAATCATATAACAGATGTCTGCTTATCATCAAAGCTTTTTCTGCTCAATATGAAAGATGGTTTTCTGGGGTTGCGAGATCAAACCTTATTAGGAATTAGTATTTAGCATCCCGCTACCACCTTTTTTTTTTTTTTACCAATCTCAATTTCTGTGCAAAAAGTGGATCACAGAGCTTACCCAGCTTCATACATATTTTCAGAAAACCTCAACTTCTGATTGGTCACTTAATATTTAAATCATGTCCGAATAACATCGACCTAGTTCTTGACCTGACAAAAAACAATTCCGCTAAAATCTGTCAATGCCTTTTCGATCCCGTCACGTGATTACGTTGATTATAAATACCATACACGATCTCGTTCTCTTCATTGATTTCTCTCGCTACAAAATGCAGTTGTAAAAAAAGATTCGCGTCTTGACAACGTGCGGTCAGACGCTATGAAAACTTATTCACACATGCACACATACACGTACGTACGAAATTTTTACTAAGGAAATTGAAATATTTTTATCCGAGCACACAAAAGTTGAATGAACTTGCTGCTCAAGAGATAGTTGAAAGAATTATAAAGCTTAGAATATGTTGAGTAAACTTTTAGCTTCAGGAAGGTTGAAAGAGTGAATGTTCCGTAATGTTTGTAATTAATTTTGGAAAGTTTCGTATGTTTGTAATGTAGTTTGGAAAATTTCGTACGTACGTGTATGTGTGCATGTGTGAATAAGTTTTCATAGCGTCTGACCGCACGTTGTCAAGACGCAAATCTTTTTGACTGAAAATTCAGTCAAAGGGACATAACACCAACAAAAATAGTAAACCCCTATGATTGTATATCGTTATACAAATATAAATATTGTTGTTGTTATAAAACCATCGTTTTCTGTTTATTCTTGTTGTTTCATATTTTGTGGTATTTTGCGTTAAATATAAATTGAGAGGTCATATCAACTAACAGTCATCAACAAATGGTAACCTCGACGTTTCAACAGGAATAAAAATAAAAAAAAATGTCCCCTAGAAATACTTTATTTATAATTTAAAGCTGTTTGCTGCAACGGTCGAAGAGAGTATTGACCATTAATGGTATCTCAAATTTCCAGGAACCTGTTATATAAAGGAAATCATTCTGCTTATTTTCTTTTCAATCTGAGAATCGAAGTAAATCACTTTATTGTATCAAAAACAATTAAACCATTTTAATAATTTCATAGAAACCATTTATTTCTTAAGATATTTCCAGAGTGAAATTCTGTTCTCATCATATTTCTGTTCCAAAGTATGATGCATTTTGACTTTAGTGTCATCAGCCGTGTTAGCCACATTCTAACTGAATCGATGCAGTCCAAATGATCCGATGGAAGATCAATCAAATTTATGGCTAGATGTGCTTTCTTACTGACATGGCAGTCACTGAAGATTGTAATGTGTCCTTGAAGATCTTCAAAAAACTAAGATTTTGACGTTGAAATCTCAAAAATGTGACACATGGGTGCATCAATACTTCCTGTTGTGACTGAAGCCCTTGGCTCGATTGGTAAAAGTTACAATAGACTCATTGAAGGGATCCCTGGTAGCCCATACCTTAAAAAATATTTCTAAAAAATGGACTTACAAGTACAGCTCACACGTTACAAAGAATTTTGTCTGTGTAAAATGTGAATGATTTTAGATTGTTTTTTGTTTTATTTTAATGATCAATGGAAAATATAACAGAAAATGTCATGAATCGATATCTGACCTTAAGTCACTGGTAGGACCCGGAAAGAGATGTGTATACAACAGAAATCAGAGAAATTAATAATAATGATGAAGATGAAGAAGAAAGGAAAATTGTAGTCATAAGATATTATGGGATTTCTAAGTCCAGACAGATCATATCATTTAAGCAAGAAGACCCGACGTTATTGTTAGAGATAAGGAGAATAGCAAGTATCAAATAATTGACTTTATTGTTCCACACGATACAAGGGCGGATTCCAAAGAAAATGAAAAGACAGAAAAATACAAGAACCTGCTTAGTAGGTAACTAAAAAACTGATAAAACAGCTATAACGTAAACATGCCCTGGAATCGCATTTTTAATTACAGAAAATTCGAAGGCCATATTTTTTGCTGTGTTTGGATTGTGTGTTGACAGAAAGATACGCAAGAGAGAAATTTATTAAATTAATTTAAAATTAAATAACTATTGCACAGATAAAACGAGAATAACATTGATACTGAATTATTGCCAAACTTTGAGTTTTGTTTCTTATATGCTTAACAGTACATCTTGAACTTTGCTTTTTATACAATTAAAACATACTTTGATCTTTGTTTCTATAGGATTAAGACATACTCTGAGCTTATCATATTAGCATCATACTTTGAAGTGTTTCTTATATAATTAAAATATACTTCGAGGTTTGTTTCTTATAGAGTTAAAACATACTCTCAACTGTTTTATCATATAAGTAACACGATACTTTGAACCGTTTCTTATATAATTAAAATATGATTTGATCTTTGTTTCTTATATAAAACACCATTTGAGTTATGGTACACAAGATAAGAAAGTAAATAACTTCTTGTTTAAATGATATGATTCACGTGATTTTGCGTTTAAAATTCTAGTTTAGGCCGAAACCTGTCATGCAAGACAAATTCACTTACTTCAACAGTAAAATATAATATCGAACAGTTGATTTAATATTTACAGTAATCAAATTCATGACTGATAAACAACTTTAACTCGGACTTTGTACCTAAATAAACACATTTGCGACACTGAGATCCGTAGACGTATTGGGATGGCCAAGGACACATTCCAAAAGCTGGGCAGAGTATTGCGAGACAGGATGATTTTTTTTTTTTTTGGTAACAATGAAAAGAATACTGAGCTGTTATGTGACATCTGTCCCTCATTACGGCGGCGAATGTTGGACGATTTCCTCAAAGATGAAGACGAGACTCGAGGCGACGGAGATGTGATTCTACAGAAGGATGCTAAGGATATCATGGACCGAGCATGTGAGCAACGATGAGGTCTTAGAGAGGATACAAACAAGGAGGAGGCTTATACTTAACATCCGAAAGAGGCAGCTGAAGTTTCTGGGACACATAATGAGGAAGGATGGTCTGGAGAATCTGATACTCATGAGTCGAATAGAGAGAAAGAGAGACAAGGGAAAATAGCGCGTGACATACCTGGCGAGCTTGTGCAGGTGGATGACAGAACGTGGTCTGGGGGAGGAAGCATAGCGGAGGAACTTGCTGAGATCTGCAAGGGATAGAGGGAGGTGGAGAGCCACGATCGCCTACGTCATGAAAGGACATGGCACATAAAAAGAATGAATACTATACTCTACTCCATTCACGCGACACGCAGATGTATCAGTCATTTATCTTTGTAATCTAACACCAACAAACCAAAATCGATAGGTCGTAGCAAATACAACCTAGTAAAGGTATACACAGCCCTTTATTATAATGCTAATACGGTAGAAGATTCTGTTACATTAAATCTCCAATCTGTCATATGTGCATCAGCTGTTGTATAATAAACAAAAGGATCAGGAACCTACCTGTTGAGTTAGTAAAATAAACCAAATCCGATATGATTAAATGGATACTAAGCTGTACATGATTTATTTCACCTGAAACACTGACAGGTAGATCAATTATGTCGTTAATGACATTGAAATTTATTGGTAAAAATATAGAATAAGCAACTGCGCGAATATTTTGGATATTTATTTATTTAAAATTGAATTAATTTACGAAAATAGAATTTTGTAAGAAACATTTATGGTAAGTTAAAAACAGTTTTATCCAGTTTTTAATTTTCTTCTGAAATGTTAAAACATTTAATATTTTGGAAGTTAAGTCCATAGATCGTCCTGGGTATGACGATAAACTATATCCGACAGCAAGGTCTCTGATCGGAAGGTTTTGAGGAGTGTGGAACCACCTTTAAATTGTTGTTGTTCCCAGGTCCACCCTGACTCGGGGTGGTAGCACCTGCTGGGGTACCAGCTTTGGGCAAATAGTTAACCCCCAAACTGGGGTCACAACACTATGAAAGTATCAAAATATATTTTAACAAGAAACATATCAGAAACAAATTAAAAAAATTACCAGCCATACATTTGACTCTCGACAAAAACCCTCATTACAAAGATACCTCAATGGCACCTGATCTACAAACTGATTTCTTACAAAGAATATATATTCTATTCATATGAACCTATTCTAAAAATCTTGTTGGCACTAAATGACTCATTGAGTTTCATATAACGATGACAGTTATGAAATGATTAGATAGCGGCTCGGATTGAGGAATCGGAGTATTGAGTTCGAATTCCAGTCGAATCCATTACATTCACTAACGTGCTAATACCCTTGGGAAAGGTATGAATCCTCTTCTCTTTCCCCCCAGCTATGGATAAATAGCAGGACAGACTGAGTTCTTTAGCCTTGGATGGCAACTAGTTTACCGGAGAAAGAAATGGTAACCGATTGCGAGAAAAAATCTGCCTCGTCAGTCATGTATCACGCATGGCACATAACTGACTGTATAGATTGGCCTCTGATTCTTGGTATTTTATTTTTCAATTTTTAAAATGTTGATTTCTATGTTGTAATTTACAGTAGACATTTAGCAAGACGTTTGCCAGCCATAAGTCGATATCGTCCTGCGGCAGAATGTCCAACTCACGCGACTGAAGCATTTCAGTTACCGTGCGTTTTCTACAAAATGGACGTTTTCTTATCGCTAGAATGGTTGCCAAACAAAGCTATAGAATCCAATCTGTCCTGCTATTTAACCCATAGCTGGGGAAAGAAGAGATGGCTACATACGTTTTGTAAGAATGCGTAAGTGGATGCAAATTCGAACTCGACTGGAATCCATTACACCACCCGCACATCCATATCGTCTTGGTATTTTATTTACCTAGATAATTTAGTAAATATCATTGAATCCATTTTCAAATATAAGTATGCTTTTTATTCAGGTAAAATTATTAAAGAAATTCATGACTAATATTCTTTTTTTTTCACTAAATGAACCTTTTTATGACTTTTTTTTGTTTGTTTTCATTTCTTTTAGAAAATCAACGCCTGATCAAATCATATATAATTCCAGTCAAGGGGACGCGATTCGAGAGAAGTACATGTATAATAACACCATTCTCAGTATAGGACCCGCTGTAGAACATCTTTATGAGGTAATGTTCTTGTAAAATATCTTTTTAACAGACTAGAAAAATAATTCTATTTTAAAATTTTTTTTCGTTGTCCCTTAGAATTTATAAGATATTCTTTAAAATCATGGATTGATTTGACACTGTATCGATAACATAAACAGGACCCACCCACTTCTAAATCAATTAAAAATTTGAATATTCTTCGAATCTGATAAGTGTCGTAGTCTAAAACATGTATGAAGTATGCTAACGTACAAAATTAATTCTTTAAAAAATCTCTATTTTTTACGAGTGGACCACTTTATTTAAGTAGTGCCGCCTGTTTTAATAGCCATAACAATCTGTATTGAGATTTGTTTCAGATTTTCTGTTAACAGTTAACATTGACTTATAACTGGTTTTGTCAATAAGCACATATATATTAACTTCCGCTAGATTCCACAAATGATAGCTTTTTCCTACCTTGTTTTAAAAAACATTTCTTCTGATGCATATGTTATCTAATATGTTAAACTAGAGTCTCTGAAAACCTTTGGTTCTTTTGTCACTGTTTAAATCTTTGGTCAATTCTAAAGTTTTTAAAGTTGGGAAGAAATTATAAATTTTCTCTGTTTACTGAAGCTCTTGGATGGCTTGATATGTCTTAGCAGCAATATCTTTAAATCACTTTTTAAAAATTATGTCAGGATAGAATTTGGTTCTTTTGGGGATGCGTCATTTGTTGAAAGATAAAATGTCATCCTGGCACTGCTTAAATTAACGGGACTGTTCGTAAAAAAAGGGGAGGCAAAATTTTGGTGAGAATCGTTTTTGTAAATTAGCTGTGGTTATATCAATATTTATCGATTCTGATAAAAGTCGAGGGTAGAAAGTGCCCACGACATTTAACAGAATCGAAAAATACTGATTTTTATCATTTTAGAATAAGGGTCCTCTTCATAATATGAAAACACTATCAAATAACTGACTTCTCAAAGTGTTATCTTTATTTATTCCTACAAATGTCACGTTTGAAAATATGCTTACGTCATTGATAGTTGTATATTAATGATGGTGTCCTTTTACCAATTTCGGCATAGTAGGCATTTATCAATGACGTTTGTAAAGTAGAAATAACTCTTTATGAAGCTTGAGACTGTATTTATATTATGAAAAGGAGCCCCTTCTAAAGAGATAAAAAGCATTTTTTTTTTGTTTCTGAAAAATGTTAGGGGAAGAGGAACGTCTAATCCAGTGATTCTCAACCGCCTTTCTGCGGCATATTAGTGTGCCACTCGATCCTCTTCAGTGGAGATTTACTTGAACCACTGAGTCAGGTTGTGACACAAGGTCAGTTTTTAACGTGGGGAAAAAAAATAAGCGGCCACAAATAGTTGAATAGAAATATTTAAATAAAGTAAGTTCATATTTGTGTATATTTTTTAATCTATTGTTTTATTTCATAACATTTAAATGTATATACTTTAAAAAATTTGCTAAGTGTGCTGTGATATTTTCATTTTCTCCTAGGTGTGCTTGTTGCTTAAAAAGGTTGAGAAACATTGGTCTAATCAATGTTCATCTACAAAAATTGTATTCAATTTTTTTCCTATTTTTTTTATTAGCAATCCAGTTAATGTAAGCTGAGATGTTATTCTAAATTTGATTTTGATATCAGGAACTACTTTTCCAAACAAAAAAAATAAATAAATTCATCAGTTAATTAAATGTGGATGTCAGAGGTGAAGACCAACCATACGCTTGTTAAATGTCTATTAACAAGTTCATCATCAAATTGACCTCGATTCGTTAGTTTTGCTTTCTAATATGATAAATGTTACTACACCACGAATTTATGTTTAATGAATAAATAACATAGATAAATATTTGAAATAAGCAAAAAGAAAGCATATTTATTCTTTTATACATAAACTTCTTTAATGAACGCTCTGAAGTAATGATATTTTATGGAAAATTTGTTTTGCAGATTAGAAACAGAGGTGACAGTGACATCTCGACAAGTCGTCTCACTATTCGATGGCCAAGTTATGATGACAATGGAAATTCCCTCCTGAAATTGTTGGAATTGCCAAAGGTTATCTCTGGAGAAGGATCCTGCACAACTCAAGAAATAACACCTACTGATACGGTAAGAAAGTTACATTAACCTTGAAGATTTGACTCTCCTCTGGAGTACCAGGGCCGTGGTCATACCATTCACATTAGCGTTGCGGTTTTCATAGTGAGTAATTTGTTTTTTTAACGGGCGAAGATAGGAAGGTGATTGGCAAATTGGACAAAAATTCTACGCTCATCAAGATTTGAATTCAAAATTGTCTTTTTTGACTGGTTGCCAACCCAAGAGAAAGGGTTGGAGTAGAAGCGATCGATGGATTCGGAGGATTCCGATGATATTTTTGCAAAAATCGAACAATGGAATCTCTACTGGACACGCTAACCCCGCGTCCTCATCGATAAACGCTACTCTACGCAGACAACCATATTCCAGCCACTTTTTTTTTCCAGATTTCATTCAGTACTCGCATTTTTTGTTTCTTTTTATGTTGTGGATTCCGAGATGAAATCCGGTCTCCAATGAATGACAAACGCAGGAATGAAATATAACAAATAAATGTATTTACACAATAATACAATTGGTAATACGGTTAGTAGATCCAGAAACGCGGTTAGTAGCAATAATAATATATATATACAGTCTGGTGAATTCAGTCTCGAAGTAACTGTGACTTCTACAAGCGTTTACCTCACACTATTACTCTACCTCCAACTCAATCACAATCTCTACTCTCTACTCTTTGACTGATTCTGGGTATTTAACGGCAGCAGTCCAAGTACACACTAGTCGAGTCCACTTGTATGAAAAAGGGGTGGACCCCATAACATTTTAATTATTTCACCCCAGCAAGGCAATAAAGTCTCTAGGACGTACTGAGTGTTAGAGAATATGAGAATAAATCACCATTAAAGAGAAAGAACATTAAAAGAGCAAGAATTAAGAAAACAGAAAATAACTATTTACATTGCATTTTTGAAGATCAAACTTCACTGGGAAGCAAGAAGACGGAATAGCATTTCACGCGCGAGAAGTGAGATAGAAGAAGCTGTTAGCATAGAACTTACATCTGCCCCCAAATTTTGAAAAACCCTTACACACACACACACACACACACACACACACACACACATATATATATATATATATATATATATATATATATATATATATATATATCCAAGTATAGGACCCCATTCACACACTTAGGATTAAAATGTATACATATGTTGTCAGAGGACCGGATGACATCGCGTCTATTCTAACGTAATTTCAACGAAGAAATAAATTGAATAACATATGTGTTTCTTCTTTTCTCCTCAGTAATTTTATAATTTTAAACTTAATAGTGATTAAATTTGGATTTTAAAATTGGCAATTTTTAATTTTACTATAAAATTTTATCATATAATTTAATAATTATTGGTTAGAAAAAATTCTTTTTTTAATATTACCCTTATTTAAAAGATCTGAATAGCTATTGTAACCTTACTTCGTTGTCAAGCTTTTTGAATTTTCCTATACTTATATTTTGATTGGTCATTCTAGCTTTTGTAACAACGTTTTCCCCTTGCGAAGGATCGTTAATTAATTTAAAACTTTTAAAAACATTTATTTTACATTCAACATCATCACCGGAGGTGCTGAAACAAAATGGCTATTTTTGTAGTGATTTTATAACATATTTATGTTATAATTTTTTTATAATAATATAAATATATATATATATATATATATATATATATATATATATATATATATATATATATATATATATATATATTATATATATTATATTAATTCATCGAGCCCAGGATAATCTTCAACAGAATGCAGAAAGCACTGAGCGGCCGTTTATATGATTAGTCTAAATCCCACAAAATTTCTTCTCAATATATGATTTTTTAATTTTTTGCCTATACTCGGGCGGTGTTAAAAAAAACAGATAATACAATTTGTAAATAAAGAAAATATTAGACAAACAGATATCTGGGAAAAAATCAAGAAAAAAAGAAAAGACTAAAAACATCCGTACCGCTTGAAAATAATCAATCATCACCTCAATGTCTAGCCAAAAGGAAAAAGGTTATGTAGTGTATATATATATATATATATATATATATATATATATATATATATATATATATATATAATAAAAATATCGTTTTAAGGTATGTTATATGTATTGGTTAAAAGTGCTCAATATTAGGGATAGAGCGTCTGTAAATATAAATATAAGGAAAGGAAATAATAAACAAATTAACAAACTACGAACGTACACATAAATACAAGCGTAATAATAACAATCAACAACAAATAAGTAAGATATCAATAATAAATAATGAGTAAGAAAAAGTTAACAAATAACATTATAAAATAGACACAAAATTCGGTCCGCAATAGTTCTACTGAATAGCGGCTAGAATAATTTGAAACATAACTGTTACCGTGCACTCAATAACCGTTAGAATAGTACAACAGACCACCACATAATGCACCACTGAGCAGCATATATAAATAGTCGAGTCAAAACACAACACACATGGCCTGAAGATTGCGTTCTACCATGAAACAAACAGTCACCGCTGGCTGTTGATCCTAATGTCTACTTTTATGTTCTAGCGCTTTCGACTATACTTTTAGCCATTATCAAGGGTGATTTTATTTTTAATTGTTAACTGAATGTGTGGATTGTTTTATGGCGAGTGAACGATTTATTTAGATTTAAAATCAAAATACAACCCGTCATTTTTCAGAAACTGTTGATGGGATCTAGAATACGCCGACTTCATTCCCTGCAGAGTGTAAGACTATCCGAAAGGGGCTAAGTAAATATTCATAGACTCAGATATAAATAACCAATATTTACTTTTCCCAAAACCAAGTAAATGATTCAAGACTCAAACGGAAACGACCAATTTCTAAAACGAGTAAATACTTATCGTCTCAAATATAGAAGCGAACATTACTTACTAAACTCACACTATTATACTTTATTTACTATATTACAACAATTAGAGTTTGTTCTTTTTTATATTCTAGTATCACACGATGATTCCTGGGGTCAAGAAGAAAAGGGAAGCTGAGTTAAACAGTTTGAATAAATTGGTGAGAAACATTTCTTTATCTTTTCTTATTTCTCTATTTTTACATTAACTCTTTATATATGCGCATGCACACACACATACACTCTCTCTCTCATACACACACACACACACACACACACACACACACACATATATATATATATATAATGTGTATATTTAGGTAGCATATTTTCATTCAAACGGGTTTGTTTAAATAATTTAGACATATCATGTCGATTAGTTTTCGCTGTAATCCTTTCAAGTTCAAGATTGAAAGTACTTGGGAAAATAAAACTATTCGAAAGAAAACTTGGTATTTTTCTTACTCAATTTTCTAAATCTACCAAAAAATTAATCCGTGAACTTAAAAGGATCACAACCTGTTTGAATATATTTAAGTAAAGAAAAATGCGATCCAACCTGCCCCCTCTCCTTCCTATATATATATATATATATATGTATGTATGTTAATTTCTTAACAATTTATGAACTTATTTTTAACCCAACATTTAATCCAACTTCAAACTTTGTTATATTAGACGCTTCGCATTTGAAATAGACGCCGCGTTTTTTTAAATTCCACAATGTGTATTACATTTATTAAACATGCGTTCCTCTTTGTACAGGAAACCACCGTTTCATCCAAAGTTCTTTCTCGACGTTCTTCGTGGCTTAGCGGTAAAGCGCTACCCTTCGAGAAGGAGGGGGGCAGGTTCAAACGCATTTTTCTTTACTAAAATTTCCCAAATGTTTTAATATATATAAATGAGGCGTCTATCTAAAATACAAAGTGTGCATTATAATAATGTTTGATATATATATATATATATATATATATATATATATATATATATATATATATATATATATATGATATTCCTCGATGTTTCGCCGATATACAACACTGGGCATTATGTACTATCTATTTTTTATATTCCTGCTTCTGTCCTGTTGTTTTTTGCTATCGCATTTGGTACTAACTATATCTCTTATTGTTTCATCAACACCACCTTTAAAACAACGCGATATGTAGTTAGCACCAAACGAGATAGCAACGAAAACATGACAGAGTCAAGAATATACAAAATAAGATTGTACAAAATGCCAAATGGTGTACATCGACGAAACATCCAGACACCACAAAAAGACTATGAGAGTATTGCAGAGATATATTGCATAACAACAACAACAATATATATATATATGTGTGTGTGTGTGTGTGTGTGTGTGTATATATATATATATATATATATATATGCCAGCCATTTTTTTAAATTTCCAAGTGATTTTGCATTGAAATGTTTTTCCTATATTTTTCAGAGTTGCACAGATATGTGGTGTAATATTATCACTTGTAATCTGGGAGATTTACCCAGAGAAGAGAGTATTCTAGTCTTAGTTAAATCAAAACTTCTCACTAGTACATTATTAAAGGTAAGTAATATTGAACTTATTTTCTTTTTAGTAGGAAGTATTTACTATTAGATCCCTGTTCACAATCATTTTCACAAAAAAAAATTTGTTGATTTTTTTATTCGTTTAATATTAATATTTAATTTGGTAATCTCTCCGACACCTACATCTTTTCGGCTGGGTGATGAAGGACATATCCTAGCTCTTACCCGCGGCTTAGAGACACAACTGCACGCAACCAATGATGTCAGGTGTTTTCGAGGCATCTAGCGAGGCAGAAAGATTCCTGGTGTTGAGTGCTTCAACCACAGAAGGGACAACTTGTGCTGCTTTTTTTGTATATTTCTCTGATTTGCTTTGCCAGGTCTTGGTAGCTCTGTATTTTCATCTGCTCTACTTTGACGATGTTCTTGTCCTAAAGTACTGTAACGTCTTTTAGGACATGGTTGCTCATGTGCACAAGTGCCAAATCACGGCGATTGCTCTCTAAGCGCTTGTCAGTCAAGTTGGTGGTATTCCTTATGAGTTTCAGTTGTTCATTCTAGACTAACAATTATAGTGAATGCTCGTACCAGATCTCTGCGCACTCGATGTCATACTTCCCGCATATTTCCCAATATATATCGGAAGAAAAAAGAAAAGGAAGTTGACGCCTGTGATCACGAATGTTTACGGAACGATTATGCTAGAAACACTAGAATTACTGCTAGCCACCTCCTTGTCTTCCTCACCTTGCGTTACGCTTGGGAGAACCTGTATCGAAAAGAGCCGTAAATTTTTGAACGTTTCCAACAAGCCAATGTCCGGCAAATCTTCATCAACGCACCAACAACAAAGTTCTCAATCGCTCCGAAATGCCAAAACACTGAAGTCGTCATCAGGTGGTCACGACATGTCACTTGATTGGTCGCTTCAGGTCTCCTGCGGACCATCCTTTACAGCGAGCTTGTCAACGGCAAACGACATCCCGGCGCCCCAAAACGCAGATTCAAATACCAACTTAAGTCTTCCCTCCTTCAAGCCGGAATCAGCCCTATCTGTGATTTAATCTTGTCGTCGGGAGTCTTGTCCATCTGTAAAACTCCCAGGTGTTTATAATTACTGCTAGCTACCTTCTTTTCTTCTCCACCTTGCGCTACGCTTGGGAGACATGGACCCTGTATCGAAAAGACCTGTAAAAGCTTGAACGTTTCCAACAAACCAATGTCCGACAGATCTTCATCAACGCACCAACAGCGAAGTTCTCAATTGTTCAGAAATGCCGAGCATTAAAGCCGTTATCCTCAAGTATCTCCTCCGGTGGTCAGGACATATCACTCGAATGGTTGCTTACAGACTCCTGCGGACCATTCTTTACAGGTGAGCACTTCAACGGCAAATGACATCGCGGTGCCCCAAAACTTAAGACAGAATCAGTCAAATGCCTGGGAAACAGAAACTGCCGACCGTCTATCCTGGCGAAGAGCAATTCATTTTAGTTGTTCGCGGAGGAGAGAAAGACTGGAGATGAAGTAAAAAGGTAAACAACACGCAAGACAATGTTATTCTAGCCAAGACCATCGCCCGCCCTACCTTACGATCAATTCAAAAGACTGTTCTATTCCCAAATTGATCTCCTGAACCATATCAGGTTCGAGCAACGTGGAGGCACTGGATGGACCAAACTCGGAAACGAGTTGTGCCGACGATGACCTCCTTCACAGATTCCCTATTGGGGAGCTTTATCCCTGTGTTATCTACTTTTCTTTCTCTCTTCATTACAAAACCAACACAGCACACTTATCAAGTCCAAATAACATCCTGATATCCTGGAAGCATATCCTAACGGTGTTTATTTATTATAAGTGATAACATAAAACTTAAGATGGAACTTTCAAACAATGACGAGATTAGAGAGTATATGACGACATAGGGAAAAACGTTTGGATAAATGAGTAATATCTTGAGGAAGATTACTTTGTAGGGACGAAGACAACGTTGTTTTACTTTTTACGTTAATATTAAATAGCAGGATGCTTTCTGAGCAGACCTCGTCATTTTGTTACATTATCTCATTGAAATTTCATTGTCTCTTTTGTTAATGATTCTAACTAGAATATTAAGCGTCCATGATCTAATGGCTTCTTCTTCTTCTTCTTGCAGAGGGGTTATCTTGAAACACTTTTGCTTGTATCAGAAGCAAAACTAATCGTCACATCGATTCCATATGAACTCGTCTTGGATCCTAACAACTTTCCGTCAGCCACAAAAGAGGTAAGATGCAAGAACAACTGCTTCATAGATTTGGCAGCTTAAATATGTTCTTATATATTATATGCTTTAATTCGTTTGCTGTGAAAGCAATGTGATATGATATTTAATAAATTATTTTTTTTAAAATATGAATAAAAGAAAACGCAAACATTGAAAGACTCCTCAACACAAAGAGGCTGACCAGTGAGATAGCAAATTACGCTAAATGCAGCTAACATTTTTTTCTCTTTTCGAATAGATGTACTGTCTGTATTGAATTTTAATTTATGCACACACACACACACACACATATATATATATATATAAAATAATAATTATTATTATTTGATTACTAGAATTCTTGTTTATAATATTATTCCTTCACTACATGCTACATTTAGCCGAATTTGCTATCTAACTGGTCAGCCAGTTTGTGCTGAGTCTTTAAAGGTAAAGCTTGAGAGTCTTTTGAAAAAAAAGTGGGCGGAGGAATGCGAGTAACAACAAAGTTTTAAAGAATAAAAGAAACTAAAAAGGAACTTATACTTAACATAATGAGGAAAGAGGGCTTGGAAAATCTGACACTCACAGGACAGATTGAAGGCAAGAGGGACAGAGGAAAACAATGCATAACTTAACTAGCAAGCTTCAGTAAATGGACGGCAGAACAATGTTTAGGGGAGATAACAAAAAGACAAAATTTATTAAGAGCTACGAAGGACTGGAAATTGTGGAGAGCCATGATCGCATACTTTCTGAAGGGATGCGGCAAGAAGAATAAAGGAAAAAAATAATTTTATGCATATAAATTCTTGTAGGTTTTAGAGTTAGTTGTAAAAATTTAGTTGCAATGGACAATCATTTCACTTTTTAATTTGTTCGTTTGGAATGGTTTACTAAAATCTATATAAGCAAACTATAGTAAACCTTCGTTGGAAACATGAGAATGCCAAACTGTGATATAATATCTAATCTCTTATGTGGTAGTGAATGTTGGAAAATCTCTTTTTAAATGAAGAGGAGATCTGAAGCTGTTCTACTGATGAATGCTAAGCACATCATGGACAGAACATAAGGAAATGGGAAGTTATAATGAAAATAAGAGCAAAAAGGAAAATTTTAAAAACAATCAGAAAGTGACATTTTTGGGAATCATAGTAAGGAAAGAAGGCTTAGAGAATTTAGCATTCATAAGACATGCTGAAGGCAAAGGGAAGCAAGGAGAAATTGTGAGTAAGCTACTTGATGAGTTTGTGCAAAGATATGGTAGAAAAGAAAATACTTAGAGCAACAAAAAGACAAGAAATTGTGGAGAGCCATGATTGCCCATGACTTGAAGTGAGATTGCACCTAAAAAGGAAGATATAATAATAAATTAAATTAGAACAAAGAATGCAAAAGCAATAAATAAATAATATTAAAAAATAATATTTAGATAAATAAAAAATAATAATTAGATAAATAAAAATAATAATTAGATAAATAAAAAATAATGAAAAAATATGAAAAATAAAAATCCAAAGGATTAGCATGTTATTAATAATAATAAGGACATTTACCCTTGCATCCACTTGAATGGAGTGTTACACAAAGTCATGTTTAAAGTGGGTATCCATATTTAAATCATTTTACCCCAACCAAAGCAATAAAGCCGCTAGTACACAAAAGGTTACTGACTGTTAGAGAATATGAGAAAAAGTACTATTAAGGAGAGAGGACAATAAAAGAATAAGAATTAAGAAAACAGAAGCTAACATTTTAAGATTTACATTTTTAATGATAAATATTGACTAGAAAACAAAAAGCCAGAAGAGAGTTCCACAAGTGAAAAGTGTGAGAGAAGAAACTGTTAGCATAGAACTTACAGTTCCATCTAGACATTTCAACTGTTAGTTGATAAGACATTGCTGCCAATCTAGTACTGCTGTTAATTCCATAGAGTCTAGGTACCCTAGAGGGAAGTTTATTAGAACAATTACTATGAAAGGATTTATGGAAAAGGTACAGGGAAACTACATTATGGGTGTAGGAAAGTGAGTGAAGCGGATATTCTAGGTCAGGACCAATGATATTGCAGATTCTTCTCTGGATTTTATCAAAGATCTGTAAATATACAGCAGTGGCACCAGACCATATGAGGCAGCAATTTTCAAAGCAAGGACAAATGGCAGACTTATAAATATGTAAGACAGATTCTGGCAAGAAAAATTGTCTAGGATGACACAGTGAAACATATTTTTAACTGCAGATTTAGCAACTGATTCAATGTAATATTTCTACTTTATGTCAGTTGAAAATGTTGAAGGTGTAATCAGTCACTTTTTTGGAGGTTAGCATCAGCCATGCTGGCAGAAGATAAAAAGGATTCTCTCAGATGATTAAAAGAGAGAAATTTCATTTTTGAAAGGTCAAAATTAAAAAGCCACTCCCTTCTCCTTTTAGCAACAGATTGTAAGTCATTTTTGAGATCAGCTGCCAATTTGACTATCGAAACGGTCAGACTTACTATTAAGACAGGAGTAAATAGTATAACAATACTATACAGAAGAACCTCAGGTGTCGAACATCTCACATGTCAAACAAATCGTTTTTTGAACAGAAAATTTGAGATGAAAATGCCTTGGTTATTGAACAAAATTTTGGTTCTCGAACAACATGTCCGAACTGAGTTAACATGAATGGAATAATTTCTGAGTTGACCGCCATGTTGTATACATTTGTGTGTGTTTCTTCTCTAGTGTTATAGTACTGTGATTTTTTTTTCTCTACATTGATTCCTATTGGAAAAATAGTTTTGGTTCACAAACTTTTTGGGTTACGAGTGGCCTTCATGAATTAAATAAATTCGTGAACCAAGGTTCCACTGTACATGAACTAGGTACAAAAAATTGTTCAAGATGCTCAACACTGACATGTTTTTGTGGGGATGCCTCAGATGCTAGGTAATGACACTGTAATGAATTGAAATTTCTTTCATATCTTCTCAGCCCTGCAGTAGTCTTTAATTTCACATATTGTATTCTGTCCTTCACCTTACTGCTTGGGCACTCCATGCGTTAGCTATGCTAATTAGGCACTACAGACTATAATCTATCCCCTGAGTGGAGTATTGCTGCCATATATGGTCTGGAGGCCCTTCTGTTTGCCTAGTGTTTCTGGATAAGCTCCAGAGGCGGATATGCAATATAACTGGCCCTGTTCTAGCATCTCGTCTACAGTCGCTCTCTCACAGACATGCCGTCTCCTCTCTCTGTCTTTTTTACAAATACTTTCATGGTAATTGCTCCGAGGAGCTGCATCTGCTGGTCCCCAGATTTTGTGAATTCAAGTGCCCTATGAGGCTGGCATCCTGCTCTCACCCTTTCACTGTTGAAACTACTAAATGTAGCCATCTCTTCTACTCCAATAGCTTCATGTCTCGCACCTCTCGCCTGTGGAACTCCATTCTCTATTCCAGTTTCCCTGAGCGCTATAATCTCCAACTATTCAAATGTAATGTTAATCAACATCTCCAGTTGCCTTGTTCTATCCACTATCCTTATCCTCATCGTTTCCTCTATCACTCCTTGCGTCCTAGTGGCTTCCCGCCTTGCTTGGGGTGAAATGCTTAAAAAAAAAAAAATTGCATTGAGGTACATTTACCAGTTGCTTGAGCACATTATATTAAATTTTAACAATTCAGCTGGGTCAGGTAAGTAATTATAACAAGTGTGTAGTCTGCATTTGTACTTATCCCAATCTATATTATCATGACCAATTTTCCAAGGTAAGGTGCACAAATATAAATTGCTAATTATAAAGAAGTCTCCATTATTTATTTGCAAATGTGTAACAAAATTAATTTTAGTTATGTCAGAATTGTGTTAATTTTCTTTTAAAGTGAGTATGTGTGGTTTAAAAATTTATCTTGTATTCTCTTCAAAAATATAAAAACCTGAAAAAAACGAATGATGTGCTGAATTGTATATTTCAGGTGAGCACATTGGTGAATCCTCAGAAGTTAGTGCCAAAAGATGGACCAATTCAAATTTGGGTCATCATTGTTTCTGTAGCAGCAGGGATCTTGCTTTTGTTTCTCATAATTGTATTACTGTGGTGGGTAAGTAAACTGAATTTTTTAATCTTTTTCTTTTATATCTTAGTACAATTGAGAGAATTAAAACAAACACAGCCTTTTCATTTCTTATAATGAGAGAAGAAGCTTAAATATAACAAGTGCATTTAATTTTTGTTTGACAATTAAAATAATTTTGTATAGAATGATAATCTGACAAACAATGACAAACATGTCCTCAATAAGATGAAGTGTCAAAAGGATTGTTTTTCCCATGACATTGTTTTTTTATCTAACTTCACTCACCGGTAATTTTTATTATTTTTAAAAGCAATGATTAGAATTGTAATAAAACATAAATGTATGAAAGTAAATTTATACAATTTCTTTCTTCTTGAGAATTGACAACAAAAATAATAAGCACTGTTTATTTATTAAATTGTTTATTTACAGTATTATTTATTAGATTGCTTATTTACACTATTTATTAAATTGTTTATTTACAGTATTTATTTATTTATTAAATTGTTTATTTACACTATTTATTTATCATATTATTGGAATGGATAAGAAAACATGACCCAATTAATTGAAGCTTTATAAAATGGTAAATAATGAGGATTTCCTTATAGTTGGTTCACATATTTTAATTACTTAGTAAATGTTTATAAATTTAAAAATAAAAAATTTATTTTTATATTTATTTATTTACAAATATGTAAATGATAAATATTACATTGCATTAGTTCTAATTATATTAGTTTTTAGAATGTTGTAAACATGATATAAGAGACCCGGATATAAGAGAAACCCGGATATAAGAGAGATTTTCTCTGGTCCCAAATTAGAGCCTGTGTTAATGCATATAAAATAGACCAAACCCGGATATAAGAGAAACCCCGATATAAGAGACTTCTTCTCCGGTCCCGACAACTCTCTTATATCCGGGTTACACTGTATCATCTCTTTAAGGATTGTCATGATTCACTCAAGTCGCAACAAAACAATAATAAAAACATTTTTTATTACTTGTACAGTATGTTGAATTAAAGAAGAGTATAGTAGTGAAGACATTCCCAATAGTTTGGATTAATTTTCACTAAAGGAATGAGTAAGGAAAATTCTAACCTAATTTCATTTTAATTTTTTTTTCCAGTGTGGTTTCTTCAAACGTTGGAAGCCTGAAGACATGAAAGAATCAAATGGAGATGCTTTCCAATAGATCCAGCTCTGGAATTCCTGAAAACAAAGAAAAGCCAAAATGTAAAAGTGACCAAAAAAAAAGACAAGAAAAATGGCAGAAAGCAAAAAAGGAACAGAAAATGCAACTTGCATTTGTTACAGAAAGAAAGAAAATTGGTTTTATGAGATTATAACAACTGCTGTGATTAAAAAGGAATACACAACAATCACTGCCAAATATGTAAATGATACAATCAATAGAAACAAAAAGAAACAAAAAAAAAATAGAAAAGGCTATATTTTTTACCATGCCTCATATTGTGAATATGCTTAATTTAATTTTTTTTTTTTAAACAAAATCAGTAAACTTTTTGATATCACAGGATATTAAAAAATAATTGATTAAACACACTGATGAACATAATTACAGAAACAGGTGATGAAAGAAATCTTATTAACATTTGTGTCTCTGAATGTTTCTCCAGAAAAAAATTTATGTCTATGTATCTTTTATAAGATCTTAATTGATACATGATGGAGATGACACAGGGCTTTTAAGAAATTGAGATTTAGTCATTTGGTTGAAAAGATGCGGGATGTTGAAATGCAGATTATTTTAAATATAATTTTAATATTTTATTTTTATTATCAATTTTTGAATCTCATCAGTGTTAATTTCTTTTTTGTATTTATGATCTTGAAATGAAAAATATATTAAAATGGGAATTTCAGAATATGAAGCCAGGTAAAAAAAAAATCAACTAAAAAAAAAAAAACAGCAACAAAAAAAAAAAATATAGAATAACAAAAGCACATCCCTGCTTTGAGAATTTGCCTTCTTTCATTCATCCCTGGTGGAATGATGTGGCGGAAATATGAAAGAAAAAAAATGAAAAGAAAGTAAAGTAAAAAAAATGGGATAATGAACAATATGAAAATATGATTCTATAGACAATGAAGGAGATTATTGAAGAAAAAAAGTACTGTTTGTGTTCAGTTGTAATAGACTTTATTTTATTTATTTCCTTGTTTATATCAGGTGTTGTCGGACATTTTTATTGAACTGTAGTTTTGTGGGAAATTGTTTAGAATATTCTTAACATTTTCATCCACTATTTTAAAAATTTTTTTTGTGACAAAACTGAAGGCAAACCTGGGATTTTTGCATAATTTGATTAGGAATGACATCATGAAAGTGTTGGTATGTCTGCGGAAAAAATGTAAAAAAGAGAGTATGAAAAAAGAAAAAGTAACACGGTTGAATGAATGAAAAATGAAAGAAAATTACAAACTGTCAAAAAGCTTCTTTTAAAACATTTTTTAAATAATAAAAAGAGTATCAATGTTCAAATGACAGCTCTATTGAAAAACAATTTCATTTTTACTGACAGTAATATAAGAATAATTTAATAGTATTACATGAAAAATGAGTTTACACTTTGCAGATACCATATCATTTTAAAACCCCTTTTTTTTTGTTTTTTCTACAGAATCACACCTCTCCAGGAAATAATAATTTAAAAAAAATATTTTTCTCATATTACTATTGGATATTTCAATATAAATAAAGTACAAAGAAGAATCTGCAATATTATTTATCCTGACCTAACATCTCAGCTTCAGTCACTTTCCCACCACAATAACATAGTTTTCCTGTATCTTTTCTTTATAAATATTTTCATGATAATTGTTCTGATGAGCTTACCACTTTGGTAACTAGACTTTATGAATTTAAGCATAGTACAAAATTGGTAGCAAGGTTTCATCATTTTACAGTTGAAAATGGCTAGATATAGCCACAAGTTCTATGCTAACAGTTTCTTCTCTCACACTTCTCATATATGGAACTTTCTTCCAACTTATTGCTTTCTGGTTAACTTTGATCTTCAAAAAATTTAAATACAATGCCAATCGTTATCATCTGCCTTAGTTCCTGTTCTTTTATTGTTCTCTCTCTTTAATAATGTTTTCTTTTTCTCATATTCTTTCACACTCAGTAATCCCTTGCATCTTAGTGGCTTTATTGCCTTGATTGGGATGAAATGAATAAAAAAAAGCACTCTGTATTATAAATATATATATAAAAATATGTTTTTTGAATTTTCTAAATATTAAGTGGGGTTTCCTATATAAAATCATTATAAATTGATCTTCTGTGTCATCCACCCCCTCCCAACCAAAAAATGCTTGTCATGTGATAATGAAGCATATTTTTAGAAAAACTTTTAATAATTTCAAGTTAATATTCATTATCTAAAACAGATTCTTACTTAGCGTTTCCCTTCATTATTATTACTGTGTTCGTGTTGCACATTGATGTAGCCAATAGAAATTCTGTTCTTTGGGCATGGAGCCGACAAGAATCCTCACAACTCAAGAACTTTGCAGAGAATCCTTTCAGACTAAATGATGACAGTTTTTACAATCAAATTTCCAATTCCAATTCTCCCTAAGTACGTTTTCTGGATGGGATTATTATTATTATTATTTTCTTTGATTTCTGGCATTTTCACATTTCTTTCCGGGTCCCACCCAGGGACCTAAGGTTAGAAATGGCATCATGACACTTTCCACTGACAAAAAAACAAAAAAAAACAAAACATATATATATTACATAGATAAAGCCCTTCGTAAAGTGTGGGCCGTACTTGTCAGAACAATTTTTTGTATCTCCTTGAGGCATGGACTTCCAGGAATCCATTCAATTAGTCTACTGCAATCTTTTCCAACCAGTCCTAGGGCTCCAACTACAACAAGGATTGTTGATGTTCCCATATGCCACATTTTTGAGATTTCTATTTCAAGGTCCTTGTATTTTGACAGCTTTTTGAATATCTTCAAAGATACATTGCAGTCAGCAGGGACTGCCATATCAATAAGGAGATTATTATTATTATTATAATTTCTGTTGTCTTCATTTTTTGGCTTGTGTAGGGAGGATCAATTTACAATAAATTTATGTAGGCAACTAAACCCCCTCTAAAAATTGAGAACATTTAAATTTATATATTCAGGAGTTTGGGAGCTTAATTGATAGGAATATGAATGTTTTGAAAAAAAAATGATTATATCTTGAAGAGATGTGTTTCTGCATAAACACCCTTTTTTGATATTTTCTGAAATGTTCATTAGTTTTAAACATTAAGAAATAGCAAGCCACTATTTGATATATTTTGAGACTATTATCTTCATTATTATTATTTTTAATATAATGTTTTTAGTTGATATATATCTTCAGTTTTTTTTAGGTGTATCTGTTGTCTCTGTTAGAAGTACTTCTCTGTTTTTGATCTCCACATTAAAAACTCAACACTCTAACTGCATCACAGGACTGAGTGCTAAGGTCTTAATAATAATATGCTAAGAATGGAATAACTCCTTTTATACTTGCTTTAAAGATTCCAGTAAACTTTACATTAGCTATAAAGAGTATAGATACAGAAAGTGTTGATTTCTCTGTCCAGATATGTTATATCTACGAAAACTCTATACTCAAAACCGAGCATTATTCCCCCATCAATATAGAAAATTTTAAAATATATATTTATAAAATTTATATTATAATTATTTGAAAAACAAATAAAAATCAATTCTAAAAATAAAATTTGATATACATGCAGTTATCTCCATTGAGAAATCAGATCATCAAATGTGAGCATAAATGCAGACCCCACACTATAAATTTGCAAATTGGACTGAACTAGCAGAAACAAAGCTGGAATTTGTTGTTTTTGCTCTTTTAGGATAACAGACATATGCATATAGAAAATGGTGCATTCTCTGACTGAAAATGATGTGCAATTAAATAAATGAATTCCATAAGGGAAACTATAATATAATTATTATTTAATATATCTGGAATGATCTCCCTTGAGAAATCTGATCTTTTAATATAAGTTACTGTGGTGAGTGTGGGCTCAGTTCTCATACTATTATCATTTAGTTACACGCTGATGTGTAAATTGCTTTTCAGGTTGAAGCATTTTAGTAGTATTGTGCTAAGAAAAATCTTACTATGATGTGCTGCTTTTGCTGGGTTATGGCAACAAAGGCACAAATAGAAATCAGATCATTACAATCTCAAAAAATTAGCCTTTTTCCTTGATTTTTCTTCAGAGTTCTTAAGACTGTAACCAAATGTTTTATACAGGAGGCCTTAATTGCTAAAATTTTGTTGATATGGATTTCTGTTTGTCATTATAATATATAGTTGGAACTCAACATATATCTGAGGAAAGTAAAAAAATATTGGTCAAAATGTTGCATGATTTTTTCAGATGGAGATCATAATCCCTAAAATGCAAAGAATATTAGTAATATTTTTTTGAAAAATGATTTGCAAATAATGATTTGCAAATAATGATTTGCAAGAAAAAAAAAAACAAAACTTGTCTTGACCAAAATTAAAAATGACAGGGAGATTTCTATTGAACAATTATTTTGAATACTTTTAAGATGAAGGGAATAAATTTATTTTTTATAACAGTGTACAGTGAAACTCATGTTATCTCATGGAATGTATTTTGGAGGATAATTTTTCCCAGCAAAAATACAATATATATATATATATATATATATATATATATATATATATTCACACCAGAAAAACAAACCAAAATAAAATAGAATAAAATTTCTTTTAAATTTTCCTGTATTCAATGATATAAAATGTCTTTTTAATGCTAGTGTAATATATTCAGAAACATATCTTGATCTAAAAGGGTCATGGTTGATGTGATCAAAGGACATATCACTCATATTCAGTAAAATGACACGATTATATGATATGATTAAAAGAAGATATGGCTTATGACTAACTAATAACATGTCACGAATAATGACATGGTATGCGTATCAGAATCATGTGACCAACTAATTATACATCAAGCTGATGTAGGTTTGACTATGGAACTTTGATAGAAATTCACCAGTCTGCATTGATGAAATCAAGAGTATTTTGCACAGAGCATTTATGCTCAAGTCCTCTTTTCCTTGTATTTTCTTTTATCAGGTCAGTGGTTACCAGATGATTTAAAATGA